GTCACGCCCCCCCCCCCTCCATCATCCACCTCGACCGTGGACCGCATGCAGATGCGATGGTGGGGGGGGGGGGCTAGAGGAGGAAGAGCTGGACAGCAATGGAGAGGAGAGAGGCGGAGTGTGAAAGAGCGTCAAACGGAGAGGGAAAAGAGAGATAGAGAGAGGAAAACGGAAAGAGGAGAGCGAGGGAAGCAATAAGCATTGGGGATGATTAGGGAGAGGCGAGAGAGATTGAGACGGGGAAGGGAGAGTGTGTGCATAAGAAGAGTGGGGGTGAGAGAAATACACAGGGGGACATGGAAGTGGGTGAGATAGAGTTGAGGGAGGAGAGGAATAGAGAGAGAGAGAGAGAGATGTAGCAGAGGGCACCGAGGAATAGAGCAACAGACAAAGAGACAACGTGAGGCATCGATATACATTCCAATAGACAGCATAGAGAATGCAACAGAAAGGTGGGGAGAGACAGGGCCCTATATAAGAGTAAACGTTTTGCTGGCTGGCTGGCTGAAAGGGATGGTCAGGTTGGTAGCTATTTTTTATGGACAATTGTTTTTATAATTTTTTTCTTGTACATCGCTGTCATTGCAGTATTGCAAAAAAATGTGTTTAGGTTCAAACATATTAATGCTCTAGTATGAGTGCTTCCTCTTAATTATTCCCACATGCAAAGATTCTCAAAACAAAATTGACCAAACAAGACCCGGCTGAAATGAGTGTTATGACTCAGCGAGGCTTTTCTTGAGTAAAAAAAAATAAGAGATTTTTACTTTTCAAAATAAATATCTCAGCAGCCATAGCGAGACGCTTTAACGGCTTTTAGGCACTGTAATGTTTTACTTGTGCGAATGGTAATGCGTGTAACAAAATTGGCTGTGTCAGACAATAGCCTCCTCCTAATGGTTTGTCTAACCAGCACCACATTTGTGAAGCAACAACCCGTTTCTAAAATATAACCCGGCCAGGACGCTGACTTCGCTAAAGCTCGCGACGTAATGGGGGACCACACTATTGCAACTCCAGTTCTAAGCAGAAATGACTGAGAGTTCCCAAATCATAACAATTACCCGTAATTACGTCAACGATTACCCATAATTTAAAGTTGAACTGGGTTGATGATGACAAAAATCGTACCATACATCAATGAACCACACGTAAGTCGCGATTTGTTTGCATATTTATTTAAAAACTTGCGCATGAAATAAACGTACGTGTTTCTTTTTTATTCAATCACAATATTTTTTTTTCTCAGGACAGACCAGTAGCAACGTAATGTTTGGACATATTAAGGCGAATAAGTATACATAACACACACATAACCTATGCATTGTATGATCTTTTTTTAGCATTGATATATTATAATCTGCAATAGCCGATAGCCGAAAAGTGAATTTATTTAGTACAATATGGGGCAATGTGTCGTTATTTCTAGTGAAATATGAGTACTCTAATGAGGACTATTAGTGGAACTTCGTAATTTGAGTGAATGGCGAGGTGGTGGTGGTACCCAATCCAAGAGGCGGTTTTGAATGGGCGAGGGCAAACACGTGTTGTCTGCGATAAATTGTATTCAGTGATCGTGTGTGTCAGGGGAATACAAAATGAAAACTGTATCAATTAATATGGTCTCAAACCCACCATGGGAACTAAAATCAAATCGTTTTCTGGGCTTCACTGCCTTCCAAATCGGACTGAGCTTCTGCCACCACACCAAAAAAAAAAGATTAAACCTTCGACGCAAAACGTTAAATATGAACGGTAAACGAGAAAAACAAAATTCTGAATGGATTAACTCTAAAAAAAAATAATGTATACACAAAGTCGACAACAACACACTTTGGCATTAAGAAAATGTACAAAAACCATGAAACGGAAGAGGAAAAAAACACACTATGTTTTTAGTGGCTTTCAAATGAGTTGAGTAAAAATTGTACACAACAAAGCCTTGAAACAGATTTAACATTGACGCTGTCGCGTTGCGGCTTTCGAGAGCTGAAGATGCCCGCAGTTAGTGTGTGGCTTGAAGCTCGATGGACGAAACGCTAAACATTCGACACTACTCCCAAAACCGTAAAACCACGCGTACACCTGAAGCAAATGGTAACGAAAAAATATGGGCAGTAATTTATACCAGATACAAATAAAAAAAATTATGATAACGTGCAGTTCAACATTTTTTGACAGCATTCGTTTAACTGTTGTTTTATCCCATCACACTTTTGTTCTTTTTACTAAGGCTGTGTCACACTCTCACAGCTACGTGTAATATTTTCCCGCAAGAGGTCAGCAGCTGTAGTTTTATTTTCCCAAAGAAAATCGGCTGTCTTGACGCGAATTTGAAAATCGTGTTAAGCATGCGGAATACATTCTTCGCTCCGGACGATCGCGTGGCCAAAATGTACGGCCCATATGGCGGATGATGCATGTTTGGAATATTTTCTTTTGCGCATACAGTCATACGTACAGCCGTGCGTGATAGGTTTAGTTTGGGATCAGAGCCACTATTCCTTTTTAAGGAAAAAAGAAAATAGACACTGCAACCATTCGGGTAACAATAATGTACATTTGTTTTAAAGGATTGCAGAGATGCAACACTCAAATTAAGTACAGTTGTGTCATGTCTTGTCGTTTGTTTCCATTTTCATACCGGGTCTCCTACATGCAATTCAATTGCAAGTTATCTGTTAATAACAGTGCATACATGTGTACTAAAATGATCAATATTGATTAAAAAAAACGGTATTGCAGAATAAAAATCAAAAACATTTTCAGGAGCTCTTTGCTCATGGAGAGATCGTTCTCAACTGTTGTCAGATTGCTACAAATGTACCTACTTAACATTTAATTACTTTTCCCCTCTTCACATATCCCAATTGGCACTATCAGCGTCGCGTCACGGGACCAAGTATCCCTCCAGGGTCTCTCGCAGAACATTGCAACCACTCGTGTTTGGAGAATGGCCCACGGAGGTGGATATCACAGAGCTACTTCTGAGATCCCTTCAAGTGATAGCCTAGTCCACAAAGAGTCGAGGGGCAGCTCTTCCTCTGCACATGAAAGTGAGGTCCATCACATGCCGGATATTGACATTCCAACAGCTGGAATTTAAGAAAATTAAGTGCAGACCCCAATTCAAAGTGATATTTTTTTGACAGCCATTGTTGGTCGGGCTGAGAACATGGACACGTGCACATTTACTCATGCACCTTTTAAATAGTGTGGGTTGTTTTGAAATGTTGAATTATTTAAATAGAATGAGGCTAGAGTGAAATGGTTGACGAAATAAATAACATTTTAGTCTGGCAATAGAAATGTCCAATCATCAAAGCTCCAGTTTAATTTTCTCACGTGGGGCAAAGTATGTGTTTTAAAATACATTGAGCGGTATTGACTGCGGCCCTTGTTTAAATTGCAAGCACACACACACTTCGACTTACACATCTAGATCCGACATTTTAGCTTTTCATTTGTGAATATCTGGTACTGCTACTTAGTTACACTGTCATATACACATACAGCACTTACTTCCCATTCTTCCAGCATCAATTATTTTTTGCTGTGCAACTAGTATACATGTGTATATATATTTTTATTTTTCCTTCAATATATATCGCACGGTGTTTTCACATGTCATATTGAGATAGATTATATATGAGACTTTTTGTTTGCTTTTATTTTTTCGTTAACAGTAAAACCGTTAAATAGCCCGTGAACGCACGCAATATACGCAGGGTGAACGAGGAAAGATCAGAGAGTTATTTGAAATTAATCTCGGGTGCAATCCTCGGCACATCTCCGACACATCCTCGAAACACCTCCGGTTTGGCATTGCTGTTAAATTAAACATAAAAAAAGACAGTGGGGCTTTACACCTGAGCCCTCTGCTTCTTCCATGCAGTCTTAAATGATCTCCAAAAAACTGAGCTTGATGTGTTGACAATTAATGTGTACACCGATGCATTTTGAGCAAACCTCTCCCTTGAACCTGCACCACAGCATGCTTGCTACTGTTAATCATTTGTCAGCCACTGTACTGGTTTCACAACGCTAACAAATATATTTTATTTATCTTATTTCAGCCACCCGCGTGTGTGTGTGTGACTGCAGCGGTGCAGACAGCATGCGTGCGTGACACTCCCCGTTCCGTTCGGCGCGAACGGGATTGCAACGTTGGAATGAGATTTTTTTTTTTTGGGGGGGGGGGGGGAAACAGAAAGCCATCGTGGAGTGCGAGTCGCCACCTTAGGCCAAGTGAGAAGCCTTCGATCAAAAGGCGTGGATTGGAAATATGGTCCCTGACGAGTGGAGGCGATATTACAAAAGCTGAACGCCCATGCAAACGAAACACGTTGTAACACGTAGTAGGCTTTCACGACCACCGTTATCCATAAGAGCTGTTTTCTTTTTTTATTAGATCGTGTAAATATAAATGTGTGGTTAAGTCCCCCACCACCAAACACAGCCAACTAGTGAGGTTTGTCACGTAAACAAAACGTGCCAATTCGTTACTAGTTCAGCACACCGGTGTGTTGGAGAGTAAACCCACAACATTTACAATTCGAGTACAACGTTTCGCCGGTAATTACAACCAGCATCCTCAGGCGACAGCCAGAGTTGTAAATGTTGCGGGGTTTTACTCTCCCCCTCAATTATGGAAGAAAAAAAACTTTTGGAAATATAACCGTGAATAAAAAGCACAAATAAAAACATTCCATTTAACATACGGAACTGGAAATGAAGGCGATGGGAAATCGAGCGCACACGAAGAATGCCACGGGGGTGGGCGGTGGCAACGTGCGGAGCAGGGACAGGATGACTGATGGGTGAAAGGGAAAGTGCAATGACAGTCAGGGGACGGAGAAAGATTACGGGACAGATTCACGGGAAAAGGAGACGGTATCAGAAAATTGTTGGCGTTTGCTTCCCGGACGAGAGCCACAAAGCCATTAGGATGCAATAATCATAAAGGGTGAGGAGGCGAAACAGTGAAAACAACATTGGGGTCACGCGCAGGCTGACACGAAATTTATTTCATCTGCATGGCTTCAACGGTAGTGTCATCACCACGTGTAGGATTTTTTTTTTATCCAGCGGAGTGTGGTGTTGCTGACTAATGCCGACGCTCATGATGCTGATGGTGATGATTATGGGTGAAGATGATGCTCTAACCCAGTGTCAATTTAGTAAACGTATTTTTTTTCTTCCAGTCACACAGTCTTCGTCTGCGGATTTCATCGAGTTGTATTCTCCCTCAAGTCGAGTCGACTAAAGCAGTCGGGCGTTTCGTCAAACGCTCTTTAGTTATTAAATGTTGGTGTGAGGAGCGCGGAATTTGCCCCCACCCATCAGGTCATTCAATTGGTGAGCTGGGTCAATGCTTGACTTTTTGTTTTATTTTATACATTTATAGCCAGTTACCACGTTTGGAAATCATCGGTGCACAAGCAGTCTCCAATAGCGTTACCATATTACCGTGGGCCCTGCGTTTCACTTCAGGCCCATTGATTTCGTCTCGTCACAGGTCAGCTCCTCTAGAGGAAGTCTCTGGCACGCTCCCCCTTAGCCAGATGCCCCCCTTTCCACCAGCGGTGGCGTCAAGCCGGCAAATGCGTGGGGTGGAAGGGGGGGGGCGGGGGCGCCGTGCTCCGCAGCGTGCCGGTCACGGTCATTCCCCTCCCCTCCCCCCCCCGTCCAGCCCCGCCACGGCTAAATGAAGCGTGACCGAATCTCGCAGGCCCGTCCCCCCGTCCCCCCTCCAAAAAAAAAAAAAACGCCCCCGGCTCGCTCGCGCGGCGGCGGCCTCAGGCCGTGGGGGCGACGGCGGCCTCAGGCCGTGGGGGCGACGGGCGACGTAGCGGCCGAGCCAGCGGGCGGCAGCGGCGGCGCCCCCGCCGGGCCCCCGTCCACGGTGGAGGAGACACGCTCCTTGCTGCCGCGGTATTGCCCGATGAAGGAGCCGTCCTCGTTGAACATCCCCTCGACGCCGTCGCCGTACTGCGCCAGGCTGTCCTCGCTCTCGCCGTGCGGCACCGAGCCGTTGAGTGACGGCATGCTCGCGGCCAGCGGCTTCTCGTCGTTGTCGCTGCAGGGGGGGGGGGGGGGGGGGGGGGGGCCCGTAGCGGCGCGTCCGCGCGAGCAAGCGCGGGGAGTTGGGGGAGGGGGGGGGGGCGCGCACAAGTTGGCACAAAAGGGTGAACATCTGCCAGTCATCTCGGGCAGTTAACCCATGGCACCTGCTGGGTCTGTCCCGTTGACCTGAGCCTACGACACTTCACGTGGCTTGAAAGTGTACATAGCCTGGCACAATCGGCGTGGTGACGTCGCCGTCACTGAGAGGGGAATGCCGGTTGTTGTTGTTGTTGTTTTTGGGGAGGTGGGGAGCGGTGGTGTAGCGGTTAGCGCACCGCGCTACGAACCCGGCGTCCTGAGTTCGATTCCCGATCACGGCCAATATCGCTGACGAATATCCTAACCGGTTCTGAGCCTCCTCTAGATATACTCAGACTCAAATGAGTACCTGGTGAGGTGTGTAAACGTCACCACTAGGGACACAAAGGCGGCCGGGGCGTGGTGCTGGCCACCCACCCCCTCGTGTGACGTGCCGGCCTTCATAGGTGCTCGGTAACAGCACTTGCCCCAACAGTTTGTTACAGGCTATACAGGGGATCTTTGTCTTTGTGGGGAGGAGACATTGGGGGGCGGGGGGGGGGGAGCGGTGGTGTAGTGGTTGTTAGCACTCTGCGTTATGAAACCCAGCAAAAAACCACACGCGATTATTGCAACCGGTCCTGGACCTTCCCTCCGTCAACTCAGCCTTAATCGTGTCAGCTTTAAATTAGTGGCGGACGCGGTGTGTAAACTAGCACTGAGGGCCACACGCGAGCGACTCCTGTGTGCCGGTGCTGCATGCTAATGGCACTTGCCCCCTGCAGCCTGCATGCCCTGACAATTCAAGAGACTTTAATATATACACACACACACGCATAGTTGAGCATTAAATAATGAAGCAGCTTAAGGTACGCTTCACCAAAGGAGCTGAGCCAAAGCTACTGTGTGCATGATACATTTCACACGCGGTGTTATAACTATTTCATATTCTGGAACAAATCGCAAGCGAAAGTTTCCTTTAAACGTCTAGGAATCAAGCGACAGTAACTCGAAGCGACCTGCACCATGACTTCGATAAAATTAGAGAGGTGCACGAACGACGTTGAATAAACGTTCAAAGGAATATTAATCAACAAACGGAATCAGGAAAGATACGGCCTGCTGTGTATCAGGCTTGTCAACTGGTGTTAAATGTTGTGCAAACATATTTGTTTTATATTCCACTATTTCATGCTCATTCTCCTCCCGCACCATGAATGCGGGGGGCTGATGCAAAGCTATTGACATTGGGCGAAACTAATGAAGCCATTGGCGATGCAAAAAACAAGGTAAACCCAGCAGATTGTGCCAAGTTAGGAGTAATCCTGAACACGCTTCAATAAGGGACAACCCCTATAGCCCGTGATATTGCCATAACAACCCAAAGGTCCTAGATCCGCAATGAAAATATTAAACGTAGCCTGTCATTCGCTCAGCCGTGTCGCTGTTCACGACAACACCTCCGAGCCATTGCCGTCGCCGGCACTCAATCAGGTATGTGCTGTTTTGGCTATGCCCCAGCCACTATTGCGGGATGAGTTTGCGATGGTGAGCAGCAAATGGGACTGGGAAGAAAGGTTGGTGAGCAGGTACAGCGCGGTGGGGCAGGAAAAACTGAAAATGTAACGGAAGCAAGGACTGCAAATAGTTGTTCGTGTCATCCATAACAGGGGAAACTTGGGCCTTAAACTGGTGCATATTCATTGCTGCTGGATAGGGACAGTGGTTAAACCAACAGTTAATAGATAATGGCTATTGTTTATTAAAAATGTGTCATTTTCTCCCACGTTATCCCGATTGTGCAAATGGCATAATTTGAAAGGATGACGCATCCACTGAAATATCCCTGGAGAAGAGCCTACAGAAGCAGACACTCCAGAGCTACATTGAAGATCCCTTCAAGTGATCCCTTGTCCTCGGAGCAGAGGGCAGCACAGCCTCTGGTGTATATGAGAGTAATGCCCATCGCATGGCAGTCAAACCGATATTTGAATTCTCATAGGTGTAAAATTCATTGCAGAATCACATTTAATGCGATGGCGTTGCTGTGCAGTCATTGGTGACCAGGCTGAGACCATGAAGCCACCAGGGCACTTGACATCCTGGTTAAATCATGGGTGGTTCCCTGAATTAAAAGTTAGGCACCCGTACCGACACGGTGTTCTGGCATCTGAGCCACCCCAAGAATAGCCTTTATTTAAGGTGTCAGTTTGTTGATTACGGTAAAGCATTTTTTTACATTTAAAGAAAATATCTGTTAAATATGAACAGTACCTACCTTTCGAGCGGTCTATATATCCAAAGGTTTGCAAACAAAATGAATTGAAAAGCATTAAAAAAGTGATTAACATTGCGTTGCAGATGTGCATTTCAAGATAAAATGTGGTGAACAACATAGACACGCGTGTTCATGTGTTTGTTAAATGTCTAAAGGTAAATGTCGATTTATTGAAAACCCATGAAAGTTAGTTGACTTAAACATTTCAATTCTGGGTTTAAGTAAGGGGACATGTCTACGGAGCAATTGTGGATACTGCAACATTGACAGTTATGTTTTTTTACTTTAAATTTCAAATGAACATTTTATGGACATAATATATGTATGTATTCACGTAAGTGCACTTTAAGTGGATCCTTACAGGAAGCCAGTTAAAAATCACATTTAAATATGAGACGTCACTGCACTTTAATTGCTGTGGGCCCAGTAGACATTATTAAAATATGCTTATGATTGTACCACTTGGAAAGCTGATTCCAGGCGAGCAAGTTTTTCTCTTCGCCAGAGAAATGAGACACGTGTGAGCAAAATACGATGGTACCGCAGTTGAAATGTGCATTAGTGAAACAATAAAATAATAAAATACATCTAAAGCAATAAAAATTATCACGTTTCGACCATAACACAAACGGTCGTCATCACACCTGATGATGACCGCTTGTGTTATGGTCGAAACGTCGTGAGAATTTTTATTGTTTTATATATATTTTATTATTTTATTGTTTCCCTTCAACGTGACTTTACCGAAATAGCTAAGAATATGAATTATGTGCATTAGTGGTTAAGATCAATTTGGGCAATGCATGCTTGGGCAGGCAACGCAGAAGAGAACACACACACACACACACACTCCCACAGCAAGCAGAGCTAGGCAGGGTAAACAAAAGGAAACATTCCAAAGGCAAAACTGAATGCGTTTTTTATAAATAATGATGATAACCATGCGAGCACCGTTAAATTAAAACAACATGCGTGGGTTTCAGAATTCTATTGTGAGAAGAATGTACGTATCATTTATTTATTTATTTTCCAGAACTGGCGGCGATGGAGAACTCTTTAAAAAAGATGATCAGGCAATGTGTACATGTTCTATTGCTAGTTTTTTTATATATGATGGGAGCAAGTCTACCCATTAGGGCTGCAATCAATCAAGAATAAAACAAATTTCAATCATAATCTATAATGAGGTGCCGGTTTGCTGCCTCCAGTAGCTGCAGGGGGTCACGTGAACGAACGACTGATGACACGCAACATGCATACGCTTTGATAATCGTTAATTCCCGCACGCACGATTTGATGCAACGTTATACTCAAATTCTGGACAGCATTCACCACGTTCTATCTACCACTTTGCCACCTCGCGTCGTTACGATGCCGCAATCAATCTCGCTCCTTTGCAAGAGCCGATCTCACCCAGGAGAGGTCATCGTGTTAGTGCCCGGTGAATAATATTACTCTGAATACACCTGCAATGTATCTGGCATTTAAACACAGCTTTCAGTACATTGGCCATAGGCAAAAGATGCACAGGAAGACGAGGCGTATATATTATCCGCCTACCCTGTCTTCACGAGCGACAAACAAAATGTGTTAAAGCCACCTGCAAATATCACTCCGCTTTAGGAGGTTGAGTGTATATGTTTTTGGGGGTATTTTGTTTTAGTCCACTTTCCCATACCTGTATTCACCAAACGTCTCCTCTTTCGTGGGTTTTATATCAGGATCTGCTCTGGCATCTTCCTTGTCTTTGACTGTTGACGAGAGAGGCAGCACTCACAAACAAGGGCACTCATCACATTCACGTTTGCCTAATGCATCCGTTCTCTCTACATAGCTACACGGGCTCGACAGTGAACGCGGAGTGATTTACTTCGAATAACATCCAACGTCGAACACCAATAACATTTGAATAAGTCTGACTGCTGATGAGACAGAAGGTCAAACCAAATAGATTATGTTGTAAAAATAAAATTTAAAAGACACTCATCCGGAGGGTCCTTCATCTACAACACAACAAATACAATTTTAGTAATCTATATTTTTAGAGATTTCCTCAATTTTATCCAAATCATGGTAATGGCGTCACGTCATTAGACAAAGTATCCATTCAAATATCTCGCAAAGCAGTGGCAACCCTTTGTGCTTGAGATTGGCCCATGGAAGTGGATATCACAGAGTTGCCTCTGAGATGCCTTTGAGTGACCTCTGTTCCACATGGTAGTCGATAACGAAAAATACACGTATTTAATGTCGAGTGATGGACTTCCTGTCCATTATTTATATGCTAATTCCACTCATAATGTGCTCTGGGGCTCAGTGAATATTAATGATTGTGAAATAATATGCATATATATTTTTTTTAATACTACGATGTATAGTCACCGATGCCAGGACTCAAAATGTCAAAAGCATACTTGTGGATAAAAAGTGGCACACATTTCAAGAAATTCCCTTTCTTCAGCATTCACATTATGCATTATTCAACTAGCAAGTGGCATTTCAGCACAAGTTTAAACGCAAAGCCCAACTGCCAGCACGGCGACAACAATTTAGAATTTTCAACGAAGAGCGCTCAGCAACCAAGGCAACGTAATTATCCCATTTCCCATCGGCAGAATTTTAAAGATGACGTGCAAAGGGATGGCCCGTCGTTAAACAGGCAGGCCGCTGGCAAGTGTCCGGCGACGTCTGCAATTAGCGCGTGGGAACGCTCACCGGAATACTTGCCGCCTTTGTTCCTCTTGATGAAGCAAATGATGAGCAGGATGAGGATGAGGAGGGCTATCAAGCACAGCAGCGCGATGAACCACGCCTGAGTAGCTAGGTCCACTGACCTCGTAGGGTATGCTGTAGGCGACACACGCAGAGGCCCTAATGAGCTAAACGTAACGAAAAACTTTTTTTATTTTATATTTTACCAGATAAGGCCCACCGAGCGATATCGCTCTTTTTCGACAAGCGAACTGGCTATCGCAAATGATAAGCTCAACGAAGTGGCCTTATCCATCATGTGGGCATTTATAGCAGCCAAATACTCTAAACGGATGTGTCTAAATGCGGAGGGAAAAACTGGAGAAACCAAAGAAGGATCCACGCGATCACAGGGAGAACATGCAAACTACAAATATACAGGCGTCAGGGTTGGGATCAAACCCACGACCTTCTGCATACCAGGTGAGGTAGCGAACATCTCGTGACTGTGGCGCCCCCCTAACGTGACCCACATGAGCTACAACATTCAACAGCAGCCACAGTGCGGACAACAAAAGTGTAAATCTCACTTTACGGTTGCGCAACTCTTGCGTATTGTCAGCAGGAATTTTTTTTTTATCGTCATCATCCACTGCTGAATGAAGGCCACCATGAACAATCCACGTAGTGCCTACACACGAACTGACTTCATCGCTCCATCTCCCCGGTGGACGTTCTCTCGGACGCATTCCATCCCTTATTATTCACTCTGTTAATTATGATTTGACCATCGGCCATCGTCCCTTCTAGAGACGTGTCCTGCCCAAGCCCCATTGGCTTTTCTGCACAGTTTGGATGATGTCTTTCACCTCCGTAGGTTCTCCGGTGAATGTGTTCTTCTTTCGACGACAGCCGACCCATCAAGCAAGACCTCAACAATCTGTCTCGCCGCCGACTTAAGTGACGATCCCCCTGCTGCACTGTTACCGTCTCTAGAATCTCACCCGGATCCAGGAACAACGGCTGGCGAACAGGGTGGAACAACGCGGACACCCGGAACAAACACCTCGTCCGAGACGAAAACATCGCACCCTCCTGGCCCTGACATTCCTCAAAGGCACACGTGTAACCATCAACCGCATCCGAACATCATCAGGCCGATGCGCAGCATCTCCTTCATGAACGGGCGATTGAAGGCACAGCCACATTGCAATTGCGGCCCTTCCACCCAGTGCAGGAGGAACACCAAAACTCGACGAACTTTCTCCCGAGGCCCTCTCGACGTGGCTAGCAGACCTCGACATGACATCCGCTTTGTGTATTTAGTCCATTGCCCCTTTTACCCCGCACCTCCGGTTTGCACGGTTGGGTACCTACGGTGCTCTGTGCAAGAATGGAAAAGTGACATTTCAAGCGTGTGTGCGTGCGTGCGAGGACACACGTGCTGCAATCACGCAAGCCGGCGTGCGTGCACGCCTTTACCCGTGCCGATGGTTTCCACAAAGTCCTCCTCGCTCACGGTGTGCCCATAGTCGTTGCGTGCGATGACGCGGATGTTGTAAGTTGTCCCCGGCTGGAGGTCCTCGAGGACAAAGAAGTTGGTCGAAGAATCCAGGGTAGAGGAATTCTTCCAATCGTCGTCATCGCCTTTGGGGGGCAGAGAGCACTTTGAATGATCAGATTTCATAACGCCACCTATTTTTCCCAAGTGCTTCTTGCCTTGCTCGATTCGTGAAATGTATTCACTCGTTTCTATTACGGCTGGAATAGTGCTATTTGTTCCTGGCAGCTTTGCAAGCACAACTTGAAAAAAGCAAACAAATATTCACACGTGCAGCACGTACATACATGTGCACACAGTAAACAAAGGCAAGTCGGGGGTGCATCCTTAACGGACTGTAGGGGCAAGTTATGTTAGGCTGGAACGGCACACGAGGAGGTCGGTGGTCAGCACCACGCCCGGCCGCATTTGTCTCCCCAGTGGCGATGCTTACACACCGCACCAGGTTCTAATATGAGCCTGTGTCGACCTAGGGGAGGCCCATGACTGGTTCAGACAATCTTCGCTGGTGTTGGTCGTTAGCGCAAACTGCTGCGACTACTGCTCGCGCACTTTCACGCACGTAGCACACACATTCACACAGCCCACACACGGTCACGCACGCAACACACACACACGCACATCCATACAGCGGGCACACATCCACGCGTGCAACACTCACATTCGCACAGCGCGCACACTTTCCGACTCCACTGCACTGTGCAGCGGAGCAGGCAGGACACCGAGTAAGTAGAGCACTTCCAATTAACACTTCACGGCTGAGCCCCCATCTCCATATGACAAGTAATTGCCTGGCATTCCAGACGCCGGTGGTAGTTGCGGTGGCGTTGATTGCGCGTGCAGTCAGTGTCCCTTTTCCCACGGCGTACCATTTTTCTTCTGGTACTGGACCACGTACTGCTCCCGCCCATCGCTGGGAAGCCACGAGATGTTGGCGAAGTTCTTCCCGACGATGTGACTCCCTCTCTGCAGCGAAGGTGGTTTCGGAGCTTTGCAAAAGAGAGCGCGCAAGCAAGCGTCATTTGTTATTCGAGCGAAGGGAGGAAAAACAAAACGCAGTTCACACTGCATTAGTTGATAACACTGCCCGAATGAGGACAACAACAACAAAACACGTTGTAGGATAGGTGACGTTTCAGGCAATTGCCCTCATTCGTAGTAGAGAGACGAAGACGAACGGCCAATCGCAGGAAAGTTATATTTAAAAAAATAATATTACGTCTCTAATTATTTAAGTCACAGTTATATTGTTTCTCATTTCATCAATCTCGTTTGTACTGCTTTGTTCGTGCAATTTAACAAACGTGTTAAATCAGCACATCATCTGCATATACTTTGCATGAACCGCACACGATGCATTTACGCATGCACAACGCAACGCAAGTATAGTGAGCGTAGGAAATTATACGGATCAATTGATCTTTTTTTTATTTAAAGCTTTCGTGACTGCAGTAATTCATATTCTTAGCTCTTTCGGTAAAGTCACGTCGAAGGGAAACAATAAAATAATAATATATATATTAAACAATAAAAATTCTCAAGACGTTTCGACCATAACGCAAACGGTCATCATCAGGTGTGAAAAACCAACGGCAAGAAACATTTGAAAGAAGTGGCGGTTTGCATCTATTTATTTATTTATTTATTTTTTGGCGGTGCATTTATTTATTAAAAAGTATACGTTAGCGCCACGGGCAGCGATTTGGCAGTTTATTTAGAAGGACGAGTCCATCTATGTTCTGAAAAGAGGAGGGGGGAGACGAAAAATTAAGGTATGCTATCTGGAAGCCACCGTAAGCGTGAACAATCAATTAAGACCTGAAATGGTTTGTCAAATCCTTCCAATGATTGCTAAGCCAGAATCCATCTTCTCGGTTGAAATTGTCTCTGTGCTTGTATATGCGGATAGCCTCATGAACGAATCTCTCTTTTTCACACCTGATGATGACCGTTTGCGTTATGGTCGAAACGTCGTGATAATTTTTATTGTTTTATATATATTTTATTATTTTATTGTTTCCCTTCAACGTGACTTTACCGAATGAGCTAAGAATATCAATTGATCTGTCGTTAAATGCCTCGAAAATATATAAGGTAGCGTGCGTCAGTTTACAAGGCGAAAACAATATCGTTCTGCTTTACATCGCATTCGCACAGCGGTTCTCAGAGGGGGCACAGGCTGCGGCATGGATACCGTGCAGGAGAAAATGTTGAATGTGTGAGGGGAACGGCAGCACCTCACTGTGGCTACAAAACGTACTGATGCATAATGTTAAACGCATGCTTTACTAGCACAAAACACACCTATACACAATGTGAAACACGTGCCTTCCTAACACGAAACACGCTAATACACAAATTTTAATAAATGCCTTGCCAACACACGATGCACAGATAAACGCAACGTGAAACAGGTGCCTTGTTAACACAACAAAAGGCACACAAATACACAAGGCAAAACAAATGCCTTCGCAATCTCGGTGATGGAGGAGGAGGAGGACGCATGCAGCCCTTGATTGTGGAGGAGGGAGAGGGGGGGAAACATGAGGATTGAGGACCACAGCTTCTTAGCGGTTACACCGCGATGGAATTGTCAACAAAGCACTTCAACATCGCAGTTTCTATCCAAGGACTGGGATTGACGCGTAACGCGCACCAACTTGTTTTGTGCGCTGCACCTTTCGATCGTGAAGAAAGAAACTAATTATGAGAAAGGGGCAAAACGGCCGTGAATCCGGCCCGGCCGAGTGGGAAGAATGCGCGTCCCTTTGTAGGGAACAATTGACGGATTTGTTGCAGGCAGGGCAGTCGCATCACGCAAGCCATGCCGGAGGATTCAAATGTATGTCGGGTCAAAAGCGCTACCGTGGAGGACGAGGATGTGATTGAACACGCCGTCGGCTTTCGCGACCAATATTCTTCACGATAAAATTAATAATGTAGAACAAGGGCCCCTACAATAGAGGTGTTTGGGTTATATCGCGTAAATGTATTAGCGTCGTTAAACCCGCCAACACCCGACACAGCCAACATGCCAATTCGTTACTAGTACAGCACACCAGTGTGTTGGAGAGAAAATCCACAACATTTACAATCTAACATACCGGTGTGCTGTACAAGTAACGAATGGCATGTTCTGTTTACGTGACAAACCTTACTAATTGGCTGTGTCGGGTGGTAGCGGGTTTAACGACACATTTATATATTTAAGCGATCGAATCCCCCCTTCCATAAATATAAAAAAACTACATTATGGATGATATTGGTCGCAAAAGCCTGCGTGTTAAACTCACGATAGTTTTTTTTTTTATTTCAGTTAGATCGAGTAAATATGTGTCGTTAGCCCACCAATTAGTAAGGTATGTCACGTGAACAAAAAGTGCCAACTAGTTACTAACTAGTTACTCCTTCAGAATGTCCAAGCATAACCGCTGTTAGATTCAGGTGATCTCCTCATCGAGCCTGTGCTGTATTAATGATTTAAGACTGTGCCATAAATGATTGTAATGTCTCAGTAATGTTGCAGGTTTACTGTAATATAAAGGCGGCCATGTTGGATTGTTTAATCTGCATTGCTGTGCAACAATTACATTCACAATACAATGCAATTGAGATTTAGAGAGCGTCTAAATGTGACCGCATCTGGAGGTGTTATATTAAACAGTGGGGATATATCTGTACGCACAGTGTACGCATTAATGCAAAGAGCCTGGGGAATCAGCTCTTGTGCGGGTCGCTGGACATGCTGTTGTTGCATCGCATAAGTGAGGCGCAGGCTTGGTATGGAGGCGTTCATCCAGTACGGGGGTTAAACATGGCTCATGGTGATACAGAGAGACAAGAAGTCAGTCGTAGGCGGAGCAGAAGAGGCGCAATCATTTACGTACAGAACAGTTACAACCATTGAACCTCAGCTTCAGAGGTGTAATACATACAATGCGTGTGCATCGATGTGCATAATAAACACTTTTTTTTTGTTAAATCAGGGAATTCACCTTTCACTACTTAACACACCCGCATAGGAATCGGACCTTTTATTTAGCTGTGAACGTTTCCAAAATGTGACTCAAGTGACTTCAATCAATTGCCAAACGCCCACGAATTGTTGACATTAACGCACACGTGTTACTGTTAAGGAAAAAAATACGAATTCCCACGCGTGGCACAAGGCTTCCTAGTTTCAGAATAGCGCGATGTATATTAATACACGGATAGTATTTGAGTGTGATAAAGTCTCAGATTTCGTGGGTCAATTTTAAGCCTGCTTACATAAATAATAATTAGAAGCCCTTTATCAATCCACTGCTGGATGAAGAACACGGTGTTGGGGGGGGGGGGGGTGTTTGACTATACTTCACCACGCTGGTCTCTCTTGTTTGATGCAGGAGAGACACCGCTTCCGATATATCACCCTATTAATTTTAGCTATGACCTAGAAGCAAACTCATCTCACCTGGTTCATATTTGTTTGTATTCATAACTGATTGTATGTAACAATGGTGACACCATTGCGAAAGAGGCAATGCATCATATGCCTCAATGGGCCTGCATTTCCATCTGCTGGTTACGTAAAGGATACCGCAACTACCGTATGCAATGTATGTTGAACTTATTTTCGCACCGTACGTAGCCAACCGTGCTAATCGGAGGTGAGATGATCACGGTTGTCTACTCCTGCTACTTGCACAGCGCAGTATTCTCACCGCTGCGTCACTTGCTCCAGCCTTGTTTTTACGAGATAGGAACAACAACAAAAATATATATATACAACCACACACGGCCACAAATAGTGTCGAAACGCCGCTGTCACGTCCGAGGTAGCGGACACACACTGTGTGAAGTGCACCGTCCCTCTCAAGGGACCCCGCGGAGCCTAAATTTGTCCCGGAAGGTTCGGGCAGTCTGATAATCCACAATCTCAAAAGCAATAGAAAGCAGCCGCAAGCAATTCCGAAGCCATGCCTCTCGAGTAGCGTGACCTCCTTCGTAGAGCGTTACCTGCCATTTCTGTCTGAACAGCACGGTTAAAATCACCTGATTGTCAAGGACAGGAGGAACAGAGGACATATGCTCGCTTGATCAGGACAAAGCACAGGGCAACACACAAACAACCGCAAGCCCGACACAACCCACTGGCAAACACGCTGCAATGCATTTGCACTTTCATGTTGCCGTGTAAATTATGTGCGCACAGAATTAAGAAAACTGCTTCCAAATTTTTTTTAAAATTTAAGGTTTCTAAAAATGTTCGGTCTGATCACGCAAAATACAATTAACTGTGGTTTGTGCTTTAGCTCAAACATGGCCAGCATTGCACGAGGAAATGCTTTGCAAAACATATCCCTTTGTGAATTCCCCACATAATTAGCAACATAATCACTGCATGGTAACTATAGGATCATACAATGATAATTATTTATTTTTAAGGTTTCCCGAGGGAAATACATAAATAGGTTGACAATATTAATTATCAGCATGGCCGGGCAGTGGCTCGCAAATCGAAATGATGGGAGTTCAAATTCTGTTTGGCGGTTGACTCAGCCCATCATCCCTCCCCAAGTCGATAAAACGACTTCCAAGTGAGTACTCAACTGTGGTTGTCCAATGGTTAGACCGGCACACGCCATACGAACGTGGATTTTTCACCAAGGGCACCAGGGCTGTAACCGTGTGATGAACGCTGCCCGTCTGCTAATTTGAGGTGGGAAATCACATTTGACCTTTTTTTTCGTGAACCCGGGAGCTCATCATTAATTTACCAAAGCAACTAGCCAAAAACTAAAACAAGCGCGAGCGACAAGTGAGGAAGGAGACGTATTTACCGACATCCATAACGGTCTGGGCCTCTTCCGTGATCAAGATCCCAGACCCGGCGTTGGTCTGAGCGCCCAAGTAGAACTTGTACTTGCTCTGTGGCTCCAGATCGGTCACGCGCCACGAGGTCACGTTCGCCGGGATGCTTTCTGTTTTACTTGGCCCCAGCTCCTGCGTGGTGCTGTTAACTGCACACACACACACACACCGCGAATAATAGGGGTGGAGGGGGAGGCAGGGGAATACGAGGGGAGGTGCACAGTTATGGAAAATAAATATATTTGTATTTTTCCTGCAGCTATGGAACTACTAAGGCATGAGCTATATTACGATGAGTATAAACTGATATCTCGAGGGTTAAGGAACACGTGCCAACGGCAGAAGATTACGATATTCCACATTCCTATGGCGGAACAAGTGTACCCATAGGATAACGACTGTTGACTTTCCCACAAAGAGAGGGACGCCTTCATTTTATCGACCCCGGAGGTATGATGGGCCGAGTCAACCCCCAGGCAGGATTTGAACTCGCAGGCCTTCCGACCGCAAGATGCTCACTCTGCCGCAGAGCCGTCGGGATTCGGTGCGAGTTCGTTTTTTTTTTTTTGGGGGGGGGGGGGGGGGCGTCTGCTTTAATTACGGTGCAGGGAAAAGTGAACTGGGGGATGAAGCTGCCACAGCCGTTAGCCGAATGCAAATTTGAAAACACACAAAGGACGCGAGTTTTGTTGCAGGAAAGCACCCCCCCCCCCGCCCACCGTTCCAAAACGATTGACTAAAAGAAACTGGAATACATTTTGCGGGTACGTGGACGGACGTTTTACTCCGAGGCGAATTATAACGAAAATTCGTTGAGACAATTAAGGGTGTTGTTTGTGGGGGGCTGGTTATCTCGGTGCGACGTTTGCACGGTTCGCGTTCACACCCCTAGCACTGCGTTCAGGCGCAATGTTTAACGCAGTTGCGTTTGCTCAGCTCTGTAAGCTTGGCTTTTTTCCCACGTTGTTAAACAAACAACCGTTGTTTTGTCTGGAGTTTATTAGTTGCCCATTGACAGTTGTGCTTGGAGATGCCAGCTTGTCAAGGATAATGAAACAGCGGCGCGACTGCTTCCAGTGGCTATGTTTAGCACTTGCATGCCCCAAATGCGGGACATACCAATGAACTGCACACATTTTCCTCCCGGTTTGCGATTGCGTTTGCCGCAACGCACATTGTGATATATGTCTATTTTTTTTAAAGGGATTCCCGTACTTCCGCAAGCGCCCACGTCGACGTTATAAAACAACAGCAGTTTATTTATTTTTTCAGTTTATTTCCGTTTATTTTGGTATAGCCCTGTGAGCCATCCGGCTCTTGAATCGGGTGCAACCACAACAAACAAAAAAAACACGAACAAGAAAAACATCTTAAAGTGACTTTGCGAGTGCAAAGGGGGCAGCCGCGCAATCTCCTGCTCACGCCCACCGCTGGCGGAAGAGCCTCGACTAAAGGGGCCTCGAGAGGGCCGTCTTTTGGGCGAATGCGATCTCAAACTGCTACCGCATGGGTTTCGTGACCTGCGCAGACGCTCGCACGCAAGATGCGCGGGAGCCCAAGGGCACGAGGGAAAGCATCCAGAGCAGGCACCAACGATTGCCCAAGCTCTGTGGTCCTATATTGGGATGATTTGCCAACTCCATTGATGAGTGTTTATAAACCGGGGGCGGGGGTGAGGGGGAGGAAACTGAAGCATCCAGATAATGCCCACCTGTGCAAGGGGATGGGGGTAGTGGGGGGGGGGGGTAACGTGTACTCCCCATACAGATGGAAGTTTATCCACTTGCTGTACTGCTATTGTTATTATTATTATACCCTGGCCATGAGCCAGCATCCTCCTCGACACCCACAGGTTGGAAGTTTCACGGATTTGTGTGATCCATCAAGCTCTGCCTCCACATTTCCGAATTTCATCCGTGCATAGGCAACAGGCCCTCACTACAAATGACTATGTACATATTGGCTGTGATTTAAGTTAGAGATATATGTAAAGTGCACGCACAAGACGCAGTGTTTCACTGCATGAAGCACATGTGCTTAGCTTATCAGAATAACTCATGCCGTAGCTTGGTTCACTCGTTGCTGCTGCTCTTTAGTGTGACAGTGGTGACCTAAAACTAAAATTGCTGAGTTAATCGTTTTTTTTCCCAGGCTTTAATGAGGCCAAGAATGCACCATTGGACACAGAGACCAGCTTCATGAAAGGATGGGCATTCGTGACTGCTTTGCAGATTCTGACTATGAATGGGAGACAGCCTTTAGCCCATCACAGTCAGTGATTGCTATCCAAATGAAAGGAGACAAGAGCACTGTGACATTACCTCCTCAACAAACAAATTCCCATGGAGGGATAAGGCGAAATAATATAGTGTGCCTCGTGCATGCGATGGACATGGCGCTGGCCATGGCATTGTCCAACTTTCTATGTCAACCTTAATGGGAGCTCACTCACGGCCCTCTCCACTCAACTATCCATTGCAGACCAAGTGTGGGCATCCGCTGTCTTGTGTGTGCGTGTGTACGTATATGTGCGAGACAGCCAACATTAGTATCAGTGGAACATGTGGAGTAACCGGCACTGTGTAAACATTAGTACCGGGGAAACAAACACGGTCGGGCATTGTGATAGCAACACCATCCTCTCATTTGCCAGTTTGCTCTTCAGAGGCGCGCGCTAACAGCACTTGCCCCGACAGTCTTTCAGGGCTACAGAAGGGATCTTTGTCCCCTGATTTGTGTGCCCTTCCTGGGGGTGCGAGGCATGGCCAAAACATTTTTAGAAGGTAAATAATCGAAACGCAAACTAAGCACGGCGCACGTGAGCACAACTACTTTGTTTCATCACACCCCTGTGTATTTATCAACATTGTACATTTTTGTAACGAATGAGAACCAATGGGGTGCAAGGCTTCATTTAAAAACCGCAGCTCTAAACGCTGGTCACCCCCACCCTTGACCGAGTGGCTCTTGCCCGAGCACGATCTGTTATGGAGTCTTCGGATGCTTTCAAATCAGGTCATGTATAGTGTCACGCCTCCACCACACTGCTCAAGTGTGTCTGGGGTCAAGGGCCAGCAACCCTTGAACCCCACCCTCAATCGCAACGAGAAACAATGCACCACACGCCGTGTAAGACTGAGCCTTTGCGCTGCAGTGAACTCAATGATTATGCCGATTAGACGTTACTAATGTCTGATAAGGCTGTTCACAATTGTACCCAATAAAACAAAACAAAAAAACAGAGACATTTGTTTGTGTGTGTGTGTTATTTTATTATTTGTTCGGTAGACTTACTGTATTCGTATGTCAGGGTATATCCGGTAAGGATACCGTTGCGTTCTGCTGGCGGCTTCCACTCCAGTGTCACGGAATTCAAAGTGGCCTGAGTAACTTGTAGGCCAACAACTTTTCCAGGAACTAGATAAAAAAAAAAGAAACCACACATATAAACATACGTGCACACACGGATGAAAAAAAAGATTAAGAAAAAGTCACAGCAGTACGCTTGATTAGTACAGGTCCTGCAGCGATGGTAAAACACAATTCAAAGCATGTATGTGGTTAATATGTCCCGTCTAAAGAAAGAGGCATTGTTATCTTTTTTTCACTAATTAAACTGCCTTCAGTGTGACGATTCAATTCCTACAACCATTAAATACTGCCATGTTGTCTCTATCGCACAAGGACTGAGCCTAAATGAAAACTTCAAAGTCATCTTTAACACTGCCTTTATAACAGCAAAACACAGTACGTCTATCAAAGATCAATCTATTATTCAATAATAATAATTGGACAGCAATTTCAGCTAGTTTAGTACAACTATACACAGACGCACAATGAACTGTGAATACAATAATCTCCATTGCCAGGTCTAACAGTTCTGAATGTCTGTCTATAACCCTCTTCGCTTAGTTTGAAGCACTGGAACAGGCCTCTCCTGACTCAGCGATAGTCACCTGCCTCTGTTCCACTCATTCTGACGTACACACAGAGGGTGCTTTTTTCCTTTCAGCAAAGCGCTCAAATTGATGAACCATTCTTCATCAGGCCAGCCATGTACCTTTGCATATCTTTCAAATAATTGCCAAAAAAACGAGACTGGGTAATCCTTAGCTCGGACGAGCCCCCACAATTTGTACGTACGCTTTTCGTCTCTCCAAACCCCGCGTGGCATTGGCCATACACGTCGCATCAATATTTTTTTAGACTGTCCCAAGCGTTTCCCCCAACACCTCGAGAGAGATTGTTTCAAATGCCCCTGCTGCACGCACGCATGTACTTGTTAAACTTCTTTCACAGCGTACGTTGCCAGCTGCCCTAATCGGATGGTGCTGCGTTCGTAATCCACTTCGCGGAGTGCTTGAACTCGTGCAAAATACGAGCACTCATCGTGAGAGCTGTACGCGGGATTTCGTGAGCTGCGCTATGAGGAATACCCAGTTCCAGAGATGAAGTATGGTCAACCCTCCCCCTCCCATGGATTGTCTCGGTGATGTGGTGCGGTTGTGTACGCAGGCTGGTACTGCGTCCACCTTTATTTCCAACAGTTGCCACTGGAGATCCCCTTCACAAGGGCTATTGTCGAGATGTGATGTAAGCATGGGCGGAGTTTGGGGTGGGGGGGGGTACGGGGGGGTCACGCTCCCCCCAGACTGGACACCTTAATTAATTTATTTTTAGTAGTTTATAATTAACATAAAAAATAAATTAATTAATGTGAGGGAAAAAGCAAACCCCTCCTCCCCCCAAATATACAAGTCAAACTCCGCCTCTGGATGTAAGGCACTGTGAGTTGCTGAGGCAATTAAATAAGTGCGCTACGCATGCAACTCATTATCTGTATTGGTCGATTGAGAATAGGTGACATTTATCATTTTTAAAATGTATTTATTTTGATGGAATAGTGAGCCCAACTGCTCCCCCCCCCACCCCTTCTTTCTGTTGATTGTGCAAGAGGATACATTTTGGATGTTTTTTCGGGTGCACTGCGTTTGGGGATTCTGTTCGCCGAGTTTCTGTGCCCCTCCTCGTGAGTCGCAGTTTATTGCTCCGTATGGGGCTCTTGTTGAAATACAATAGAAAAACACATTTAATATACAGGGTGCTTCAAAATGTTTTAACACTTCTGAGAATTGGCAACAACACCGCAAGAAGTGTTGTGCCCCTCCAGGCTCTGGAGACCACCTGGAGAAGATTCCAGGCCACGTGTTGACAACGATGGCGAACAAGTGGGAGACTCTTTGACTTTTTTAAGCTATTAACGACGTACATTTGTTGTCCTGTTACAGTGTAGTATAATCCGTTCTTTTTCCATTAAAAACGATAGTCCCATTTAAGTGTTAACATTTTTTTAAGCACCCACGTGTGTATGTGTATATGTATTTCTTCCCACCTCCCTCTGGAGTGTTGGCGGTGATGGGGTGACTCAACGGCCCCTCTCCCTTGCTGTTGAACGCCGCCACCTCAACGCTGTAGGTGCTGAACGGCTCAAGGCCGGGCAGCATTCCCGAGTTCCTGGCGCCGTGAAATTCCAGCACCTTCTTGCCCGTGTGACGTCGCCTCCTCTCCTGCAGCCCCCTCACCTTCGAGTAGTAAATCTGTTGCACAACGCACACGTTGCCTTTACTACGACAACAACAACGAACGCTAAGTTGTGGTGACATCATTGCGGAACTTGTGCCAGGCTAGGCATGCTTAGAGGTTATGTGACGTGTCAAAGGCTCTCTGCTGACAGGTCACGGGACAGACCCAGGTGCTATGGGTTGACTAACTGAGATGACTGGCAGATGCACCACCTGTGCTCCCCACTGTGCCAACTTGCTGCACTTTAGCATCGCTCCTCTGCCCTCCGTTGTTGAAGAAGGGCGATTGCATCCAACTGCCCAGTAGCATCTTTCATGAGCCTCCTCCAAAGAGGCTGAACCGCTGTTACCAGTCGTCAGAAAGTCCACTCAGCTTCACATCCTCTTATACCACATCACTCCATCTCTTCTCTAGCCATTCCCATTGTAGTCCTCTCAATCTGGTCAAACAGAAGCAGCTTGGTTTCAGCTCAACCTCCCCTTCTGGAGAAGCTCACTCATGGGGATAATGCCTTATGCACCTATGGTCATGTAGAGCACTACTCAGAGGATAATTATAAGTTAGTCGTAAACCAATTAGTCATGCAAAAAAGGCCACTCATATGAATCAAAGGTGTGCAAATTCACGCACAATCTGACTGAATTCTACCACAACAGTGTACCACATCATGTCTACTGCGAGCCTATGGCTCAATGTGTGAGTCTATGGTTCTCTGTGTCAATCTATACTCTCTATGCGAGTCTATGGTCTCTGTGAGTCTACGCTGGTCTGTGAGTCTATGGGTCTCTGTGCGAGTCTGGGCCTCTGTGAGTCTACGCCGGTCTCTGTGAGTCTGCGTGTCTTCGATTGAGTCAATGCATCTCCGTGTGACTTTATGCAGGTCTCTGCAAGTCTACTCATCTCTGTGTGAGTCTACGGGACACTGCGAATTTGTATCCACTGTGAGCATTCTCTGAGATTGAGAGGTATATATAGAGAGAGAGGGGGAAAGGGGGAGCTAGAGAGAGTCAGAGAGATGGGGTGGGGGGGGGGGGGCATGGTGTTACCTTATAACCTTGAAGCCGACCGAGCACATCTTCTTGGCGGAGTGGCTCCCACGAGACCCTGATCACGGTGCTGTTCACCACGTCGCACGTCACCTTCTTCGGTGCCGTGCGTGGAACTGCAGCAATAAGGCAATGGGAACGCAGCGATTGGATGCGTGGCAAAACGCGTCCGATTCACCGCTCGCGGGTCTAGCCGAAAAAAATCACTTCGCAGCTCATGGGATCCCCTCCAGTGTGCAAATAAACGACTCGATAGCGATTCGGCTCTCGCGTGCTCGCGGCGCACACATCGAACGGTGCGTGCAGTGCATCCGCTGCCGAAGAAGCTCCCCGGGGAGCGCGGGGAGCGAAACGTCGGACATCGCGCCGAACGACGCACGCGGCACACCCCGGAAGCACGTCGGGGAGACGTCGGTGATGTTAATTGTGTGTACACGGCGTCATGTGAAGGCGTTCGTGTGACCTCTGCAGGCGAGGCAATACGTTCGCCGGAAAGCCAAACACACCAATTGTTTTTTTTTTTATATATATTGAATCGTTACAATTCGTTGAAATCTTAAAGGGGGAAAGACGGATCATTAAAATTACTATGAGTAACACGGAGGTTTTCCACAGCAGCCGCGCGTTGTGTTATTGTACAGCATCGACGATCAAAACGAGCAGTAGCAGTAGAAATAGCTGTGCTTTGATATTCATATCGATTGTGAGGGGTTTTTTTTCAGCTCTGCGTATGAATGTATCAGGGGACGTTTAAGTGGGCCTTCAACAACCATCATTTATTTGGAATCAGTGACAGTCACTTACGTAGGTTTGTGTGTCTCTACATACATTTATGCCATTACCGAAAGGCTACATTTAAACAGGTGGTGGTGCGGTGGTGGCACTTTCGTTAGCGCACTGCACTACGAACCCTGTGACCCAGTGTCCAGTATGAACCCAGTATCTCAACCTGTCTGGTAGCCACCACCTCCTGGTCAAATTAATGATCTAGGTAATAGCATACATGTATGTGGAGAAACACAAACCGACGTAGCTGATTTGTCACGGCAATGGATTCCTTGAAGCTATTTGCCACTTGAATGTTGTCCCTGAATACTCCAGATTCCTCTCAAATGAAGCCCAACAAGACATGCAAATGTTGCACACATCCCAATGCGGAACCCTGTATTGTTCTCCTATTGGATGTCGGAGGCCTGGTAACCAGGTTCTCTCGTATGCTGTACACATGCCCCACCCATCACTTTCAGATACACTTCCGGGGCCGTCTGGAATGCTCTTTCTTCCGATATTAGGAAGCCACTGGAGCTATGTGCACTTTGAAATCAACTAGATTGAAAACGAATTTATTTAGAACTGATTTTTGTGTATAGTTTGCTGTCCTTCCCCCGCACCTCGGATTAGCATGGTTGACTACGCACGATACAAAACAAGTTCAACATACATTGAACAGCACCACATTCACATACATACGGTACACACACACACATCACAACGTCCTGTCCCCGATCACGCAACGGCCAACAGGAGCTGCAGGCCTTCCTCTTTTACCGGCCTCTCCAGAGAAGCCGACGATGACCAGCGGTTCGGGCCCCTTGCCCTGGTTGTTGACGGCTTGCACTTTGACTTCGTAGGGCGTGAAGGGTGGCGTGCCGGCCAGCACGTACTGGGACTCGTTCCCGCTCACCAGCTCTTCCCGCCAGTCATCGCCAGATCCCTTCTGTCGCACGCTCACTTTGTACTGCAGCTCCGGGCCATTTGAATCCAGGGCATCCAGTGGCTGTGAAATGTGTGAGACACGCGAGAGGGTAAGGGTGGCAGTGGTAACACTCGAGCCTCACAGCGAGAAGGACCTGGGTTCGATTCCCAGGCTCGGAGACACGCAAGTAATTTTCTTGGGTAAGTTGGAGAAACAACTATAAAAGCAACAGATCACGTTTGTCATTTCCAATGCACCCGTATTTTTTTGTCGTAGTAGCACCGCGCTCTTACGCATGACTTTGACGTTCGGGATTTGACCAAGTACAGTTATTTGTGGATTGTTTGTTTTCATGTTTGTTTGCTGTAACCAGGTTTGACGGTGTAGTCAGGTCCCCATCCAAAATGAGCATTCATAGAGGTGGCAAAGGTGGCTTTGGATGCTTGTTTCTGACCCCACCAGGCTCTTATGGGCCATCCCATGGGCACTCGCTAAACAAACGCGGGAGCTCACGCCTGTAAGCCAACACTTTGGAGGTAAGGTTCCGGTCGATCGAGCAAATTTGTGAAACTTCCCAAAGACGCTGATCTGCGAGGTAGCCAGGAGGAGGCAGTAAAGTGAGTTGATCGAATTCATCTGCGCGGAACTTTGAGTGTTAACCCATTCGTGCGTGTGGGTTTGAGCCGAGTAGCCCAGTTTCCTTCCACAGGCTTCCGAACTCTCATTAAATGACATTGGCCAGACATTCCCCAAAGCAGGACGGACAGTCGCAATCAGACACCGTATACGTGCGTGTGTTTCATTTCGTACCGCTCGTAGCCAACATTTGCCAACCGTGCTAATAAGAGGTGCGAGGGAAGGGCAACAAACTAAACGCGAGAAGCAGTTTACATGTGTGTCCATGCGTTTGCATTGATAGTGCAGCGCATTAATTGCACGCTTACTTTCCAAGATATGGTCATCTTGTCTGGATCGGTCCCTTCTGCTTTCACGCCAAATGGCGCAATGTCGGGTGCTGGGGAAAAAAAAAACACACAACACAAACTACGCTCACCCAAACTCGGTTTTTTTGGTCTTTTTTACCAAATTATTGTCGATTGTATTCATTGGCCTCAAGGCGTAATTGTTTGACCATTTGGAACTTATAATAGCAACAGGGTTTTTCCCCTTTTTTCTGGCAACAAAACTGAAACCTTTTTACAAAGATTCATGTCTGCATTAACCACAATACCTGCAGTCAAAATGCAAACAAAAAACATACTATGATAATATATGCATTGTCCTTGAAACTGATTGGTCCACACCAAGGGACGGCTTTCTTTTGAGCCTCGACCCAATTGGTGGAACTTATTTTAGCGCCTGTTGAAGGCAATATTTTTGGGGAGGTGCTGGATTGGTAAAAAGTCTTTCCGCGTAGCTGCTCCACGTTTAGGGAATGCCCTCGGCCGCTCACCTACACCTTGGCTCCCTCCCTTCACTCCCCCTCTGTATTCCCCTGTTAGACCAAAACACACAGAGCTTGCATGTGCCTCGGTCTAACTTTTTTCCTCCGGTGCCTCTTGCTCCCACGTGTTTTGCGCTGTCTTTTTTGATCCGCGTGTCCTTCATGTCAACGTTAGCCCAAAATGCAGAGCTTACTGGCACTGGCACCTGTACCTAACTACTTTTAATGGCACCTCTTGGTGTCATATTGTATTTTTGCAGTTTTTATTTTATTTTAATTCATGTGTATTTCGCGTACGACCGTCATGTGAACCTTATGGCGGGACCCCGGGGTCCCATAAGCCCATGGCTCTCGCATAAACTGCGTTGCGACGTAATTTTATGTCTGTTGAAGGCGAACGATGCGGCAATCTATTCCTCTCGACGAGCTCCACACGATGCGCTTATCAAAGTTTCAAAGTTTTGTTTCTTCTGCGCATTCGTCCTCGCTGCTGCGCTTGGACGACACGACAACAGAACGATCCGCGCCAGGTGGGTCGCGACGTTTAATGTGCGCGGTGGGAAGGAGTCGCCAAAAAATAAATAAATAAATTGCGCTTTTGACTTCCGTTTATTCGGGACCCCGGGGTCCCCGCCTTAAGGTTCATATCCCTGCTTTGTTAGCTGTGCGATATTCATCAAGGACCCTGCTCTGTGCTCGTTCTCTGCAATGTGTCGATGGTTTTGTTTTTCGTCTTTTGCTTGTGTCGTTGCTGTGCTCACGCAGCACCCCGGGGATCTCCGACCGCGACGATCGCAGCGTGATACGGCCAGGCGGCTGGCTAAACGGGACCATCACCCGTGCAACAAATCAAAGTAAACTTCGGAGGTCACTTCAGTTGCCTCTCATTTTCCACACTCGCTGGTTAGCTCACTGCCAATATGAGGTGTTCATCTCATGGCAATCAAACTGAACATTTTGCTAACAACCTCACGGCTAAGAACATGCCGAATCGTGATGACGATGATGACAATGACCATGCCGACCCTGCTGATAGTGTTGATATTTCTACCGAAGCTTCTGCTGCAGACAATGCTAATTTAGATGCTCCTGTTTCCATTGACGATCATAATCATCATCACAATGCTGTTGGCAACGCTGACGATGCTGGCAATGTTATTAATGCCGCTGAAGCTACAGATAAGGCTGCTGCTGCTGATGACGCTGATGATGAGTGTGCTGATGTGGACATTGTTGGCACTGTTTTTAGTGTTTGTTAAACATACTTGTCTTATACTTTTTGTAATATCGCATAATAAACGACGACGATAATGCTGGTAATTCTGCTGCTGCTGCTGCTTCTGCAGATGATAATAATAATGTTTTTTTTATGTTTTGGCTCGTCATGGAACAACAACTGCATCGCACGCTTTCAGATGTGCTTCTGGAACGCTCTGCCTTCCGATATTAAGAAGCCACTGGAGCTTGTGCACTTTGAAATCTACAATGAAAACGAATTTCTTTCGAACTGCTTTTCATGTATAGTCTGTCGTCCTTCCCCCCCCCCCACACCTCCAATTAGCATGGTTGGAAACGTACGGTGCGAAATAACATTCTTAGTTTTTTCGGTAAAGTCACGTTGAAGGGAAACAACAAAATAATAAAATATATATAAAACAATAAAAAAATTCTCACGACGTTTCGACCATAACTCAAACGGTCATCTTCAGGTGTGTTGGTTTTCAACATGCACAGACACAATGAAACCGGCTGCACTGACGCGTGGTTGCCACTGAAACTGCTGCTGCAGGCAAAGCTGCCTGGTGCGAGCGGTGGTTCGCCGTGCCGGCCTTCGTAGGCGCCACTTGCTAACGGGCACTTGCCCCATAAAGTCTCTTGAAGCTACACGGGGCTGGGGAGGGGGGGGGGGGGGGACCATATTTGTCTTTGTTGATGGTCGCGGACACCTACTGGACGGCGGCGTGAAGTATCGCTCTGAGGGCTCGCTGGCATTGCTTGGTCCCAGCTCGTTGTGCGCGATCAGCCGGAAGCGGTAGTTCACGTACGGACGCAGCTGCAGCCTGGCCGAGCTCACGTTGCCCGTGAAGTTGTCGAGCGTCTGCCAATCGCCGGGGCGGTGCTTGTCCTCCTCGAATTGCACCGTCACACCTGCGTGCCAGGACAAAGGATGCCCCACCGTCCAGCCTATTGGCAGACTTCCGGGGAATGCTGCTGTTGGCGGCGCAGTGCTTGAGGGGGTTTGGCGTGGCCGGCGCAACGTCCCCGGACCCGCCTTTGTCACACCGCAATGCTGATGTTTAAACACCGTGCAAGGTGCTCATTTAAGGCTGATTCGATCTATGGGAGGAACCAGCACCGGTTCAGATAATCGTCACCGGTGTTGGCCGTGGGCGGGAATCGAATTCGGGTCGCCGGGTTCGTAGCGCAGCTCGCTAACCCCTACACTACCGCTCTCTAGACACCTGTATGCACGCACACGTGCACAAGATCAACAGGTCATCAAGGTCGAAGTCGTCTATGCCACCACGTTTCGCCAATGCTTTCTACCACTGCTGCTGCACAGGAGACACGTGACCTCCAAGACATGCCCTGACAGTATCAAACCATTTGCTCTTACTACAGTGTTAAACGAGGGTATTTGATGAGATCAGGTGCATTCACAGATAACCGCTAAACGGGATTCACCTTGTGCTCCTTCTTCTTCTGGCCGACGTTGTTGATGTAATTTTACATTGAGATGGTCGAGCCAGATAATGTGCAGTCAGGAGCAGCCCAGTGTATCGCGGTGACGATGCGTCCTCATTTATATATATATAAATACGTGCGAATCGGACGTGGACTCGTTATACAAGTTCCACGGTCTGCTCTGGGTGGTGACCGCAGTTGCACGCTGCCGGGGAGTTTCTCATTTTCCCATCTGGTGCACCATCAACGATTCCGCATCTGCCGCTGCTGCCATGTTTTTTTTGTGTGTGCCGTGGATGCCGTTTCAGGGTTGCGCCCGCAACCGTCGCGGAAGACCAAAGCCGCAGAGTTCAAAGTTACCGCCTCCGAGATCCTGAGAGACCACATTTTAATTCGGGGGCGCGGGCGGGCGGGCGGGCGTTCGTAACCGTTGGCAAGAGCGTGCGGCAAGAGTTGCCGCACCTGAGATGGGGCTGTTGTGGCTGTCGCCCGGAGCCCACTGGAGCTCCACGCTGCGATCGCCGAGGTCAGAGAGGGTGAGCTTCGTGGGGGCGGCCGGCCGGTCTGCTCGCGAGAAAGAGAAAGAAACGAAAGAAACAGGCAAGAAAACAACAGGACGGTTCAGGAGAGGTCGTCGTCTTCCTCGCAAAGTTCACGTTGGTTTTGTTCACGCCGGGGATTAAGCCTCCGTTGGCTCGAGTGACCGTGGAGGAGTTGCGGGGGGGGGGGGGGGGGGCGGGGCGGCGGGGTCATCGAAATGACAAAAGCAAAGCGAATGAAGTCGAGCGGTGGGCACGTTTCAAACCGGAGCTAAAACAACGGCGTCACGTGAGTTATCGAAAACGTTCCACGAACGTACACCTTATCTTCACGTCGTTTATGTAGCGCCTTAACCAAGGCGCTTTGCAGTGGAATTAACAGCGCTTCGCGTGGTTGCGACGGTGGAGATGAGGTGAATGAAATGGATGGGAGGAAGCAACGGTGTGTGAATTAGGCGAAAGCGCGAAATTGATGACGGTAAATGATAATGGATTGAATGAACGGGGTTCATGAGTGATAGCCATGTAATGAGAAGATTAAGAGGGAACAGGGGCTAGGGAACCAAAAAAGTGAGTTTTGAGGGAGGGGCAGAAACTTGTGAGCAAAGATTACTTTTTAGATCAGCGTTCAATAACACTTTTAGACTGATCATAGTCCAATTACAGTGGTGCACGCGCACAAAGCAACCAATCCCTTTGGTCACTCCATGTGCTGTGAAGAAGTACCATTGTCCGAAATGTCGTGCATTACGTACTTTGTAATTTTAAGGGCGGTATTATTATTATTGACAAATGTGGTGAGGTTTTTGTTGTTGTTGTTGTTGTTCTTACTTATTGTTATTTGTTCGCTATATGTGCATTGCGAAATGACAATTTACGTCACGGACACGTTAAACGAACAGACTGTCGTACTAATCTGGAGAGAGACGAGATATATACGTTGAGGCATGATAGACGCACGTGGGTGGCAGTGGCAAGCAGCACCTCCGATTAAACAAAAACTAAACGTATACTATAAACTATTACTAAAAATAACCTACTTTTTATTTTACCAGCTAAGGCCCACCGGGCTATGTAGCTCTTTTTTTCAGAAGCGGACCTGGGCACAAATGATAGCTCAACGAAGTGGCTTATCACGTGGACATTTATAACAGCCAAATACTCTCAACGCACGTTGATTTTAAATGCGGAGGGAAAAACCTGAGGACCCGGGGAAAAAATCCACGCGACCACGAGGAGAGAGAAGACGCAAACTCCAAATCCACAGCAGGCGTCAGGGTTGGGATTGAACCCACGACCTCCTGCATACCAGGCGAGGCAGATAACACCTCGCCACTAGCGCAATTAGCACGGTTGGCTACGTAGGGCGCGAAAGAAGTTCAACGTACACACGCGCATGCGCGCGCATGCGTGCAAGCGTCGGCTTCGGCGCGAGTGTGCGTACCGAGCACGGTGAGCTTGGCCGAGGCGGAGTGTCGGTCGAGCGAGGTCTCGGCGAAGCAGGTGTAGACGCCGCCATCCTCCTCGGTGACGCCCTCGATGGTGAGCACGCCTCCGTCCACCGCCACCCTGCACGGGACTCGGTGCGTGTCAGCAGGGAGGCGAAGGTGCCCGTCTAATGGTTTGGCAGGGGAGCCTCCAAAAGAGGGACCTTAAGAGAGACCCTAAAATTTTCAGCTTCATTTTCAGTTTCAATTATTAGGTATAACCCTGTGAGCCATGCGACTCTTGATTCGGATGCAACCGCAACAACAAAAAAACATGAACAAGAAACGTCTTAAAGTGACTACGCGAAACAGAAAAATCCAGGAAAAAACAGCAAAGTCTTCCAGAAAAAGCACCGTATATCAACGCTTTGTGCAAAAATCCCAGTGGGATGCAAGTCAAACAATAACAACCATAAGACAATTTAGATTACAGTTATCAGGCTAACTCTGTACTAGGGTGCTTGGCCTCCTCTTCCACGTTGGCTAGATGCCTTCGAAGAGCAGGAAGTACCCACACTTTTCCCCACGACACCGCGACGGGCCCATGTATCCTGCTGGGTGAACAGAAGTTGGTGGATATCGAGAAATGTCCCCCCGTTGTTTAAACTGCCATGCCAGGAGACTGGGCCAGCGACCGCCCAGATTGCAATTCCCATGACACTATCCGTTGCACCACCATGGCAGAATGTGACATAGCCACTGTAGCGATGCACTGTTAAATCAAGGTTGAAAAGTCATTTGTTTTGCTTTTTGTGTTTAGTTTGTTGTCCATCCCCCTCCCGCACCATCGATGAGCACGGTTGGCTACGTATACTGCGAAAGAACTTCAACATGCGTACGTAAAGCAAGTAGCTAAAGAGAAGCTTGCTGTGGCGACTATACCGAGTGCACCCTTGCCTGACCCAACACGGTTCTGAAAAATAATTGCATGCATTATAAACGTCAAAATTTTACCCAATTGTTCATTTCGTCAGGTGTCCTTGACCAGCTGGTAACCGCAAGCAAATAAAACCAAACCCAGCGGGCGCTCTGCACGCGCGACGTCATTCGCTTGCGCTCGCCGGTAATGCTTGAAGACCACCATTGCTTACGATCAACGAGTTTAGAAAAAGGCATTTTACATCATTCTAGGCTGCCATCTGACTTAAAAATGCCATCGTAGTTATTTCACGGTGGCAGATTCTTACGCGATTGGTCACCGATGCCTCGCGCGTGTGACAAAATTTCACGCGTTTGTAAATCGCCTCACGTACCCCCAAGGGGAACATTTCTCGATACACCACGCCCGCCCGCCCGCCGCTCGGTTGAGAACCACCAGCTGGAAACGACGCGATTCGCGGAAACCTGCCTGCTGCTGACGATCGGCGCCGTGCCGTCTTTCTCCCAGGAGACGTTGAGGCTGAGGTTTTCGTCGGAGGAGACGTTGCACACGAACCGAGTGTCCTTGAGCCTCTCCACCCGCCGAGACGCCATCGGCTTGATCCTCGTCGCGTCTGCGGTGGCGAAAGATCCGCGTGGCCCCACGCCGTACGGAACGTTTACTCCGCGCAGCAGCAGTAGCCCTCGCCGGCCGGGCAGATTACGTGTTAATCTGTTTTACTGTGAACTATAAATGTTTTGTTTATTTGACCAGGTAAGGCCCCCACTGAGCTGTACGGCTCTTTTTCAGAAGTGAACGCGGCCACAAACGATAGGGCAACGAAGTGGCTCATCACGTGCAAATTTATAGCAGTAGCCAAATACTCTAAACAGGCGTTTTGTTTCTAAAATGTGGAGGGAAAAACCGGAAGACCTGGCGAAAAATCCACACGACCACAGGGATAATATGCAAACTCCAAATATACAGCACGCATCAGGGTCGGGATCGAACTCACGACCCCCTGTATACCAGGCGAGGTGGTTAACATCTCATGGCCATGGTGCCCTTCAGGATCCCCTCCAGTGCACTTTCCCACACAACCTACTACAAAAGAATGCCCGTCATTTGGCAGGCAAACCGATATAATTTTAATTATGAGAGCTGGAATTTTGTCAAATTAAGTGAAAAAGAAAATGTAATTGCTTTTTTGATACATATATGCAGTCATTGATGACTGGGCTTAGACCATTAATTCACGATGTTTGGGATCCTGTTACAAAACGCTTAAAATATGCACGGAAGCGCGGAGACATGCATTGAAATGAGGTACAGAAAGAGCAGCGTGTGGATTAGAGAACATACGCAGGTTAACGACACCATCGAATCTATGAAGAGGAGTGAGCGGACGAGGTCAGTGCTCAGTCTGGGTGCATGCCCACTCATTGCCTCCGATCAAAACGCAGAGAGAGAGAGAGATCCGTGCACGGCGTGACGAAAGAAGCTCGCGATCGAAGTCACACCGGTCCGCGCACTTTCGGACGCGCTTCTGCGGCGGTCTGGAACGCTCTTCCTTCCAGAAATTAGGAAGCCACTGGAGCTATGCACTTTTAAATCTAGATTGAAAACTAATTTCTTGAGAACTGTTTTTTTTGTTTAGTTTGTTGACCTTCCCCTGCCCGCACCTCTGATTAACATGCTTGGTGACGTACGGTTCAACAAATAGACCTTCATACGGAGATTTCCTATATAGCCTGGAACAGACTGTTGGGGCAAGTGCTGTTAGCGAGCATCTATGAGGGCCAGCACAACACACGAGGGGGTGGGTGGCCAGCACCACGCCAGGCCACCTTTGTCTCCCGAGTGCCAATGTTTAAAACACCGCACCAGGTACTAATTTGAGGCTGAGTCGACCTAGCGGAGGGTCCAAGTCCAGTTCAGATATCCGTCACCGATATTGGTCGTGAGTGGGAATCGAACTCGGGTCGCCGGGTTCGTAAGCGCAGCGTGCTAGGCCGCGACACCACCGCTCCACACAACACACATGCACCTACGACTGCACTATAACAGAAGTCCCTCTCTCAGCGCAAGCTGGCGCCCGTTTCAGGACCTTGCGTGCCGCGTGAATTTGCGTGGAGGCAGGCAATGGGGCTCCTGTGGGCCTGGCTTCGAGCCAAGCGAGTGGGAAACAATAAACAGTGGTCACAACCTCATTAGGAAACCTGCTGAAGTAGCTGCTGCTCATCCCCTATGGGCTGTTGACACTTTAACACAAGCCATAATAATATCCGGAGCAATTTGGTTTCTCGCTGACATACAAATGTGCACGTACATATTAATGCGTGCATTGTGTACGGGTACAGTTAAAGGTAAAGCGGGAGCACTGCAATGACGTGCTCATGCCACTGCTGGCAGAAGGGCCTACAAAGAGGATATTTTGCCTACTCTTCCCTGGTGGTCATATGTCTTGAAAGAGGTAGGAGCACTCACACTTTACTCCACCACACACGACCTGCCGATTGGCTAAGACGTGTATATATATGATTGCCGCTCAATAACTGTAAATCGCGAAGCGCTATGCAGGATCGACCAGCTAAACTCTTGCGGGCTGTGGACAATGTGCGAGCGAATCAGTGTCCGGTCAGGTGGACGCACTGTCACAACAAGATGGATGTGACGAGTTATCTCAATTCTTCACGGATAATGTTGTCACCATCAGGACTGGAATGTCATACGCCCCACTCAAGGTCGGTACCCTGACCGATAAAGCTGCGATCCACCGATGAGCAATCGCTAAACATCCCTGGCCCCTGTGGTGCGACTATAAACTTCTGAGATCTTCGTCCTTTGCTTGCATGGCTCCTGCCCTGTAGAATTCCCTTCCTCGTCGGATGAGGGACTGCCCGACTGTTCAATTTTTAAAAAGAGAACTTAAAATGAATCAGTTAAGCTTCGCTTTTCCAGATGAAAAGTAAATGCATTTTACAAACTTAATGGTTGCGGATCAACCTGCTTACTATTTTAATTGCGTGGTTAATCCATTAAAATGGAGGATACATTTTACATATTCTTTGGGTCTTTTGTTAAAGCCAAGTAAATAGAACAAATAATGAAAATAATAAAAAAATATTACGACGTGAGAAAATATTCTCAGCACTCCTCATGAATTAATCTCTACTTTCACAATATTTCCCCATCATCATCATCATGGTCGATCTACTGCTGGATGAAGGCCTCCCCAAGCCCTCGCCATCTCTCACAATCCTTCGATGTAACGATTCACCCAGCACCTGTGATTTCATCGCACCATCTCCGTTGTAGGCATTATCTTAAATGCATTCCATTCCTTGGCTGCATTTATATGTGTGTGTTTCGCTCTCATCACTGAAATAACTTTAGACAGATCAGCAACTGTGATTAGGCCCTCCTCTGTTTATTAAGCATCACCCCTGCAGCGGACAAATTTGGTAGTTTCAAGGAAAAATGTCTGGGTAAATTGGGTCATGCCATTGGCTTTAATTAAACTCGTATAACATTTACAAATACTTGGTTTAAATGAGAATTGCAATTATAAACTGTTTAACTATTTACAGAAGCATGCCGAGCATGTGTCTTCAGGGCATGTTCCCTGAATCGCGCACATTAAAAAAGGTAATCATGTAAAAACATTACAAATCTGATTAATTAAACTCGCTTATTTCAATTTTATTTTGCAAACAAATGAATGACCCTAGTTTAAGTGCAACATTTGCAAAATTCAGCATATAAGTGTTGGTGTCCAATATATTTTAAAGCACTTCAGTTGACTGATTTTGAGTAACATTGACATGCTATATACGCAGGCAGTTTCAGATCATCAATCTCACAGTCATGGTCAATTCACTGCTGGATGAAGTCCCCTCCAAGCCTATATCGTGAATGCAATAACTATGAAGCTAGGACACAAGTAGCTTTTCGTGACTGGGGAAATTTGGTGCAAAAACTCTGGAAAGTCGTACCACTGCATTACAGCATCAGGAGCCCTGACCCTGCCCTGCTTAAATCCTGGGTTCAAATCCAGGTTTCGGTTAGCTGTGATGAAACTGGGTCCTCAAGTTCAAGTGTAGCAAGTCCAAGGGTTTGGAAATGACTGCATGAACAAAAAATATGGAGCTTTGGTTTCTCACGTAATTCATGACAAATTCCAACTCGGATTTGTTTTCATTTTTGATCGACTCGCCTGCCGTGCGACAAACGTCTTTGTAGCAGCCGGGCTCGCGGCCACCTGACGCACCTTTGGTTTGAATACCGGGTCACTTGCACTTGGAGGAATCTCAAATAGTAGTTTCACGATAGCTTCACCCATGGATCATTCTCGAACACAAAGGGGCGGCGCAGAGGTCTGCAGGAGTTGCCGAATGTAAATCCCATTTCGTCGCATGGCATCAAGAGCAGAATTTGAATAAAAAAAATCTGTGGGCATATTTGCGTTGCAATTTAACAAATGGCGCACGTTGAGAGCCAGCGAGCATTTTTTGGGGAGGAGCGGGCTATGGGCTGTCTGTGTCTCAAGTCACGCACCTCTGACGATGAGGTAGGCTTGAATGCTTGTCGAGTTGAGCTCATTGGTCGCAGTGCACGTGTACAGCCCTTGGTCGCTCTTGGTGGTCCTCTGGATGAAGAGGTTTCCGTTTGCGTAGACGACATTTTCATTCTTCTCCTTGGACCTAGGAAGAAGGGAAAGGTACGTACAGCGATAACGAATGCAATGTAAGTGCCTTGCTTGGTTTATAAAGAGTCGTCGTTCGTGCAAATTGCATCTCACAGTCGCTGAGCAACCACGAGCAAGCTGCAAGGCGGCCAGCCGGTGAGCCGGCCGCATCCATCGCCGTATATTATGATGCTTTCAGCCCATTCGTGAGCATTCATACGTGTGAAAGAAAACCCTAGCACATGGAGAAAACGCACAAGTGCGAGGGGGCAATACTCTATCCCAAGCCAGGGAACCACGCCTCGATACCCACAGAGGAGGGAGCGGGGTGGGGGGAGAGTTGTAATCCATCAGCCCTCACTGCCTCCACAGTGCTGGATTACAGGAATGCATAACTACCACCGACATCAGCAATGCACCGATTCATGGATTAATATTGACACTCTACGCTCGCGACAGATACGCGCATGGAATCCCGTGTGAACGAATGCATTGTTTACGATGTATACATCAACAGTAGTGAGCGGGAACGGCTCATTGAAGGAGGTGATAGAGGGGACATTCTTTGGGGAGAGACCAAGAGGAAGAGTAAAGAATGGTGATGCGTTGGCGATGTCCACCAAGGCAGGACATACGAACAGATGAAGGGAGCGGTGGAAGACTCCCTGCTGCGCTGCGTGATAGCTGCACTCAGGGGCACGGTGGAAAAAACCATGTTACTCGCAGAAGTGCGGAGTTGGCCTGATAACTTTAATCTAAATTGTCTTGTGGTTGTTATTGTTTGACTTGCATCACACACTGGGATTTTGCACACGGCGTTGTAATACGGTGGGGGTTTTTTTTTCATGGAAGATTTGCTGGTTTATCCAGGATGTTTCTGTTGCACGTCGTCGCTTTAAGATGTTTCTCTGTTCATGTTTAGTTTGTTGCGGTTGCACCCGACTCAAGAGCCGCATGGCTCACAGGGCTATACCTCGTAAATTAAAACTTGAAAACTTGAAAGACAAAGGCTACACACGGAGGAGAGAATTGTGCCTCCGACCCATCTAGAGACAGAACACAAAGTGAACAACTTGCACTGTATGCAAAATGTATGCTTACGGTACGTACAGAGAATACAACTGTGCAGACAACGCAGAAAGAATTGCTAAACAATGCAAACAAGATGTTATAATTAAGGGGGGGGCGGGGGGGGGAATGACAAATCCTTAATCAAACCACGACCCTGTATTATGGTAATTCGTTGAATGATCGGGGCGAGGGATTGCATTGCCAGCATCCTTAATAACGATGGCGAGTCTCTTACCATTGCATCACAGGCTTGGGTGAGCCAAACGCTTTGCACTCCAGGGCGATCGCATTGTTTTCCACCACCTCGTAAACCTTGTTGTTTTCCGTTTGTATGAGTGGGGCCACCGCTGCAGACACACGGAAGGCCAGCGACGTCGTACGCATCAGCTTGCGCGGGTTTCCACGCTTGCGCTGTACAGCACCCCCCCCCCCATCTCTCTCCGACGTGTTCCTGAAGAAGCTCCCAGCGCGATGGAGCGAAACGTCGAGATGTGACGTCACACAACGTGCGGTGCAACCCAGCAACGTAATCAGAGGGCCGTGATGTCATACGTAGCGACACGAGATATCAAATGCGCACAGCATACATATGTTTCATTAAAAAAAAACTATTATAACAACAATAACAACAACAAAACACACACACAACGCGTAATTTATGATATCACTTTGTCGTACAAATGTCGAATGGGCAAGAAACCGGTTTCAAAAAGTCAAACGTAATAAAAAGTCAAACGTAATAAAAAGCGTGCGCGGATGGGCGTTGTCTTATCTATTTAAAAACAACATTGAACATCACGTGATAAACTTAACGTGTCCATCCGTGAGTGAGTCTGTCAGCCAGAGTAACCACCTGAGTCTTCTTTTTTTTGCGTGGAGCAAAAGCTCATTCTGACTGAAGAAAGAACAAGGGCCCTATAATGTTTTTTTTTTGTTAGATCGTGTAAATATAAACGCGTCGTTAAACCCGCCGCCACCCGACACAGCCAAAAAGTGAATTTTGTCACGTGAACAAAACATGCCGATTCGTTACTAGCACAGCACTAACCGGTGCATTGCAGAGCGAAACAGGAGGAGGACCTCTCCACAACTGTCTGTCGTCTGATGATGGCTGGTTGTAATTACCGGCGAAACGTCGTACTCGAATTGTAAATGTAGCGGGTTTATTCTCCAACACACCGGTGTGCTGAACTAGTAACGAATGGTCATGTTTTGTTCACGTGACAAACCTTACTAATTGGCTGCGGCGGGTGGTGGCAGGTTTAACGAAACATTTATATATTTACGCGATCTAACCCAAAATCTTCTATTGTGGACAATATTGGTCGTGAAAGCCTACTACTACTATTACATGTTAAACAAGGGCCCTTTTTGCATTGATGATGGGCTTTATACAAACTACGATGTCGTCCTCTGTAATAAACAAAAAAAAGCAATGACCGGGAATTTTCACCACGCTAACCTTGGGGGTGGGTGGGGGGGGGTGTTATAAGTTTCTGAACTAATTTTAATGATCATCAGCCACGATCATTCCACTGCTGGATGAAGGCCTCCCCCAAGCCGTCAACGCCCCTCGTAACCCTGCGATGTAACGATCCACCTCGAAAACCCGGACACAAAAACTGATTTCATCGCTCCATCTCCGAGCCCCGGCCGACGGGACGGACAGCATAGCCCCACAGCAGCCTCTGGAGATGGATCGTGCGATTGGATGCCATTCCGGCTAATTTGGTCATCCTGCAGCGTACACGCAAGGCGACCACGTGTGTGTATCAGTTCATAAATATGACTGTTCCTATGAATCTAATTAATACATTAATTACGAACAAATATATATTACAGAGTATAGGTAGGAAGTCCCTATACTTCTCTACCTCTGTTAGTATTCATAGTTCTTATTATAAATGAATCATTTCTATATATTAATAGAGTCTGGGAAATTGCTGATGTTTGTTCAAACAGTCTTCCCACCTCTGAATCATTCCATCTGTCTGAGAGTTAACTCGATCTGTGGGCATTGATAACGCAAGAGTATTATTATTATTCATGGAGACAGAGATATAGCAACTTTCACCGGGGCCTGCATACATCAAGGTGCACGACGAACACATTCAGACTACGAATTTAAAAAATGACCCACTAAATCAGAACATACAATCATTGGCCCCCCACCCATCACCATGTACCTGTCAACCCCTTGTCAGTGCCTATCTTATTACAGACCAATTCAGACTTTATTGTTCACTTCGTGCCCTTATGCATCCTACAAAGTCCCATCAAAAGGGAGAAAACACAAAGAAATTGTAAAAAAATAAAAATGTTTGCCCGTATTGAAACGTCTGTACGCCATAACACAGGTGTTTTTTTTGGGTCAGATAGCGTAAATATATAAATGTGTCTTCAAACCCTCACCACCCGACACAGCCAATTAGTAAGGTTTGTCACGTAAACATAACGTGGCCAATTCGTCACCAGTACAGCAACACCGGTTGTGTGTTGGGGAGCCAAGCCACAACATCTACAATCCGAGTACGACGTTTCGCCACTAATTGCAACTAGCCTCATCGGACAACCGGCTGTCCGCCCTATGGACCTGAAAAGGCGACGTCCCTGTACAAGAACAGGGGGTAAAACCCGCGTGCGTTGACAGCTACGAGACCGCCGGTGGGTTGCTCTTATTTCTCTCGCTCGCTCACCCAGCACATTGACGAAGACGTTGGCGAGGGATGAGCCGTGCCTGTTCGTTGCTTGGCACTGGTACACGGCACTGCCACCTATCGGGAGCCGTTTCAGCGTGACGAGGTCCCCCCTGACGATGCGGTTGGGGTTGTACGGCACCTCTGGGTAAGAACAAATGACGGCGTGGGCTCCGCGTGTTTCAGAATCACGCGCAACAACTACAACAACAACAACAACCGCCGTTTAACCCACGGAGTGTCGGTGACGTCACCGCGGCCCCGTGTGCCATGCTAGGTGCACTTTGCAGGCCGCGTCAAGTTGTCCGGGAGTGTGCGTCTATGGGATGTAACTGAACCTAGGCATCACGACATGTTTGTCCAACCGAACTTCCCGTTCACCCACCATCATCATCACCAGTTCACCACCATCTGAGCCTTCATTAAATAATCCGTGCTTTTTCGATGCTGGCATCTGGAAAAATTCGGTATTTTTTTTGTAAATTGAAGTTACAAAGGACACCAATCTATCAGCAACAAACACAGCATCTATCAAGATAAACGTGAATATATGTTTTGAATTGAGCAGATGTCTAAGAGGATGATAACGAAATTTTAAAGTCGTGCAGTGAAAGCGGAGATGCAGAAAAGAGATGTGTTGTGACCTGCAGTGTGGTGAGTGAGAGTGTGAGTGGGCGAGTGAGTGTTTTGTGACCTGCAGTGTGGTGAATGAGAGTGTGAGTGGGTGAGTGAGAGTGTTGGTGAGACCTGCAGTGTGGTGAGTGAGAGTGTGAGTGGGTGAGTGAGTGTGTTGTTGTGACCTGCAGTGTGGTGAGTGAGAGTGTGAGTGGGTGAGTGAGTGCGTTGTTGTGACCTGCAGTGTGGTGAGTGAGACTGTGAGTGGGTGGGTGAGTGTGTTGTTGTGACGTGCAGTGTGGTGAGTGAGACTGTGAGTGGGTGAGTGTGTTGTTGTGACCTGCAGTGTGGTGAGTGAGAGTGTGAGTGGGTGAGTGAGTGCGTTGTTGTGACCTGCAGTGTGGTGAGTGAGACTGTGAGTGGGTGGGTGAGTGTGTTGTTGTGACGTGCAGTGTGGTGAGTGAGACTGTGAGTGGGTGAGTGTGTTGTTGTGACCTGCAGTGTGGTGAGTGAGAGTGTGAGTGGGTGAGTGAGTGTGTTGTTGTGACCTGCAGTGCGGTGAGTGAGAGTGTGAGTGGGTGAGTGAGTGTGTTGTTGTGACCTGCAGTGTGGTGAGTGAGAGTGTGAGTGAGAGTGGCTGAGTGAGTGTGTTGTGTGACCTGCAGTGTGGTGTGTGAGAGTGTGAGTGGGTGAGTGAGTGTGTTGTTGTGACCTGCAGTGCGGTGAGTGAGAGTGTGAGTGGGTGAGTGAGTGTGTTGTTGTGACCTGCAGTGTGGTGAGTGAGAGTGTGAGTGAGTGTGTTGTTGTGACGTGCAGTGTGGTGAGTGAGACTTTGAGTGAGTGAGTGTGTTGTGACCTGCAGTGTGATGAGTGAGAGTGTGAGTGGGCGAGTGAGTGTGTTGTTGTGACGTGCAGTGTGGTGAGTGAGACTGCGAGTGGGTGAGTGAGTGTTTTGTTGTGACCAGCAGTGTAGTGAATGAGAGTGTGAGTGGGTGAGTGAGTGTGTTGTTGTGACGTGCAGTGTGGTGAGTGAGACTTTGAGTGAGTGAGTGTGTTGTGACCTGCAGTGTGATGAGTGAGACTGCGAGTGGGTGAGTGAGTGTTTTGTTGTGACCAGCAGTGTAGTGAGTGAGAGTGTGAGTGGGTGAGTGAGTGTGTTGTTGTGACCTGCAGTGCGGTGAGTGAGAGTGTGAGTGGGTGAGTGAGTGTGTTGTTGTGACCTGCAGTGTGGTGAGTGAGAGTGTGAGTGAGTGAGTGTGTTGTTGTGACGTGCAGTGTGGTGAGTGAGACTTTGAGTGAGTGAGTGTGTTGTGACCTGCAGTGTGATGAGTGAGAGTGTGAGTGGGCGAGTGAGTGTTGTTGTGACCTGCAGTGTGGTGAGTGAGACTGCGAGTGGGTGAGTGAGTGTTTTGTTGTGACCAGCAGTGTAGTGAGTGAGAGTGTGAGTGGGTGAGTGAGTGTGTTGTTGTGACGTGCAGTGTGGTGAGTGAGAGTGTGAGTGGGTGAGTGAGTGTGTTGTTGAGACCTGCAGTGTGGTGAGTGAGACTGTGAGTGGGTGAGTGAGTGTTTTGTTGTGACCAGCAGTGTGGTGAGTGAGAGTGTGAGTGGGTGAGTGAGTGTGTTGTTGAGACCTGCAGTGTGGTGAGTGAGAGTGTGAGTGGGTGAGTGAGTGTGTTGTTGTGATGACCTGCAGTGTGGTGAGTGAGAGTGTGAGTGGGTGAGTGAGTGGGTGGGTGAGTGTGTTGTGACCTGCAGTGTGGTGAGTGAGAGTGTGAGTGGGTGAGTGAGTGGGCGAGTGAGTGTTTTGTGACCTGCAGTTTGGTGAGTGAGAGTGTGAGTGGGTGAGTGAGTGTGTTCTTGTGACCTGCAGTGTATTGAGTGAGACTTTGAGTGGGCGAGTGTGTTGTTGTGATGACCTGCAGTGTGGTGAGTATGAGTGGGTGAGTGAGTGTGTTGTTGTGACGTGCAGTGTGGTGAGTGAGAGTGTGAGTGGGTGAGTGAGTGTGTTGTTGAGACCTGCAGTGTGGTGAGTGAGAGTGTGAGTGACTGAGTGAGTGGGTGAGTGAGTGTGTTGTTGTGACCTGCAGTGTGGTGAGTGAGAGTGTGAGTGGGTGAGTGAGTGTTTTGTGACCTGCAGTGTGGTGAATGAGAGTGTGAGTGGGTGAGTGTGTTGTTGTGACCTGCAGTGTGGTGAGTGAGAGTGTGAGTGGGTGAGTGAGTGTGTTGTTGAGACCTGCAATGTGGTGAGTGAGACTGTGAGTGGGTGAGTGAGTGTTTTGTTGTGACCAGCAGTGTGGTGAGTGAGAGTGTGAGTGGGTGAGTGAGTGTGTTTTGTGACCTGCAGTGTGGTGAGTGAGAGTGAGTGGGTGAGTGAGTGTGTTGTTGTGACCTGCAGTGTGGTGAGTGAGAGTGTGAGTGTGTGAGTGAGTGTGTTGTTGTGACCTGCAGTCTGGTGAGTGAGAGTGTTAGTTGGTGAGTGAGTGTGTTGTTGTGACCTGCAGTGTGGTGAGTGAGTGGGTAAGTGAGTGTGCGAGTGGGTGAGTGAGTGTGTTGTTGTGACCTGCAGTGTGGTGAGTGAGAGTGTGAGTGGGTGGGTGAGTGTGTTGTTGTGATGACCTGCAGTGTGGTGAGTGAGAGTGTGAGTGGGTGAGTGAGTGGGCGAGTGAGTATTTTCTGACCTGCAGTGTGGTGAGTGAGAGTGTGAGTGGGTGAGTGAGTGTGTTGTTGTTGTGACCTGCAATGTGGTGAGTGAGAGTGTGAGTGACTGAGTGAGTGGGTGAGTGAGTGTGTTGTTGTGACCTGCAGTGTGGTGAGTGAGAGTGTGAGTGGGTGAGTGAGTGGGTGGGTAAGTGTGTTGTGACCTGCAGTGTGGTGAGTGAGAGTGTGAGTGGGTGAGTGAGTGGGCGAGTGAGTGTTTTGTGACCTGCAGTTTGGTGAGTGAGAGTGTGAGTGGGTGAGTGAGTGTGTTCTTGTGACCTGCAGTGTATTGAGTGAGACTTTGAGTGGGCGAGTGTGTTGTTGTGATGACCTGTAGTGTGGTGAGTGTGTTGTTGTGACCTGCAGTCTGGTGAGTGAGAGTGTGAGTTGGTGAGTGAGTGTGTTGTTGTGACCTGCAGTCGGGTGAGTGAGAGTGTGAGTGGGTGAGTGAGTGTGTTGTTGTGACCTGCAGTGTGGTGAGTGAGAGTGTGATTGGGTGAGTGAGTGTGTTGTTGTGATGACCTGCCTTGTGGTGAGTGAGTGGGTGAGTGAGTGTGCGAATGGGTGAGTGAGTGTGTTGTTGTGACCTGCAGTGTGGTGAGTGAGAGTGTGAGTGGGTGAGTGAGTGTGTTGTTGTGACCTGCAGTGTGGTGAGTGAGAGTGTGATTGGGTGAGTGAGTGAGTGTGTTGTGACCTGCAGTGTGGTGAGTGAGAGTGTGAGTGAGTGGGTGAGTGAGTGTGTTGTTGTGATGACCTGCAGTGTGGTGAGTGAGAGTGTGAGTGGGTGAGTGAGTGTGTTGTTGAGACCTGCAGTGTGGTGAGTGAGAGTGTGAGTGGGTGAGTGAGTGTGTTGTTGAGACCTGCAGTGTGGTGAGTGAGACTGTGAGTGGGTGAGTGAGTGTTTTGTTGTGACCAGCAGTGTGGTGAGTGAGAGTGTGAGTGAGTGTGTTTTGTGACCTGCAGTGTGGTGAGTGAGAGTGTGAGTGGGTGAGTGAGTGTGTTGTTGAGACCTGCAGTGTGGTGAGTGAGAGTGTGAGTGTGTGAGTGAGTGTGTTGTTGTGACCTGCAGTCTGGTGAGTGAGAGTGTGAGTTGGTGAGTGAGTGTGTTGTTGTGACCTGCAGTGTGGTGAGTGAGTGGGTAAGTGAGTGTGCGAGTGGGTGAGTGAGTGTGTTGTTGTGACCTGCAGTGTGGTGAGTGAGAGTGTGAGTGGGTGGGTGAGTGTGTTCTTGTGATGACCTGCAGTGTGGTGAGTGAGAGTGTGAGTGGGTGAGTGAGTGGGCGAGTGAGTGTTTTGTGACCTGCAGTGTGGTGAGTGAGAGTGTGAGTGGGTGAGTGAGTGTGTTGTTGTTGTGACCTGCAATGTGGTGAGTGAGAGTGTGAGTGACTGAGTGAGTGGGTGAGTGAGTGTGTTGTTGTGACCTGCAGTGTGGTGAGTGAGAGTGTGAGTGGGTGAGTGAGTGGGTGGGTGAGTGTGTTGTGACCTGCAGTGTGGTGAGTGAGAGTGTGAGTGGGCGAGTGAGTGTTTTGTGACCTGCAGTTTGGTGAGTGAGAGTGTGAGTGGGTGAGTGAGTGTGTTCTTGTGACCTGCAGTGTATTGAGTGAGACTTTGAGTGGGCGAGTGTGTTGTTGTGATGACCTGCAGTGTGGTGAGTATGAGTGGGTGAGTGAGTGTGTTGTTGTGACCTGCAGTGTGGTGAGTGAGAGTGTGAGTGGGTGAGTGAGTGTGTTGCTGAGACCTGCAGTGTGGTGAGTGAGAGTGTGAGTGACTGAGTGAGTGGGTGAGTGAGTGTGTTGTTGTGACCTGCAGTGTGGTGAGTGAGAGTGTGAGTGGGTGAGTGAGTGTTTTGTGACCTGCAGTGTGGTGAATGAGAGTGTGAGTGGGTGAGTGAGTGTGTTCTTGTGACCTGCAGTGTATTGAGTGAGACTTTTAGTGGGCGAGTGTGTTGTTGTGATGACCTGCAGTGTGGTGAGTGTGAGTGAGTGTGTTGTTGTGACCTGCAGTCTGGTGAGTGAGAGTCTGAGTTGGTGAGTGAGTGTGTTGTTGTGACCTGCAGTCTGGTGAGTGAGAGTGTGAGTGGGTGAGTGAGTGTGTTGTTGTGACCTGCAGTGTGGTGAGTGAGAGTGTGAGTGGGTGAGTGAGTGTGTTGTTGTGACCTGCAGTGTGGTGAGTGAGAGTGTGATTGGGTGAGTGAGTGAGTGTGTTGTGACCTGCAGTGTGGTGAGTGAGAGTGTGAGTGAGTGGGTGAGTGAGTGTGTTGTTGTGATGACCTGCAGTGTGGTGAGTGAGACTATGAGTGGGTGACTGAGTGTGTTGCTGTGACCTGCAGTGTGGTGAGTGAGAGTGTGAGTGGGTGAGTGAGTGTGTTGTTGTGACCTGCATTGTGGTGAGTGAGAGTGTGAGTGGGTGGGTGAGTGTGTTGTTGTGATGACCTGCAGTGTGGTGAGTGAGAGTGTGAGTGGGTGAGTGAGAGTGTGAGTGGGTGAGTGAGTGTGTTGTTGTGACCTGCAGTGTGGTGAGTGAGAGTGTGATTGGGTAAGTGAGTGAGTGAGTGTGTTGTGACCTGCAGTGTGGTGAGTGAGAGTGTGAGTGAGTGGGTGAGTGAGTGTGTTGTTGTGATGACCTGCAGTGTGGTGAGTGAGACTGTTAGTGGGTGACTGAGTGTGTTGCTGTGACCTGCAGTGTGGTAGGTGAGAGTGTGAGTGGGTGAGTGAGTGTGTCGTTGTGACCTGCATTGTGGTGAGTGAGAGTGTGAGTGGGTGGGTGAGTGTGTTGTTGTGATGACCTGCAGTGTGGTGAGCGAGAGTGTGAGTGGGTGAGTGAGAGTGTGAGTGTGTGAGTGAGTGTGTTGTTGTGACCTGCAGTGTGGTGAGTGAGTGAGAGTGTGAGTGGGTGGATGAGTGTGTTGTTGTGATGACCTGCAGTGTGGTGAGAGTGTGAGAGTGTGAGTGGGTGGATGAGTGTGTTGTTGTGATGACCTGCAGTGTGGTGAGAGTGTGAGTGAGCTGAGTGTGTGTTGTTGTGATGACCTGCAGTGTGGTGAGAGTGTGAGTGAGCTGAGTGTGTGTTGTTGTGACCTGCAGTGTGGTGAGTGAGAGTGTGAGTGAGTGGGTGAGTTAGTGTTTTGTGACCTGCAGTGTGGTGAGAGTGTGAGTGAGCTGAGTGTGTTGTTGTGATGACCTGCAGTGTGGTGAGTGAGTGAGTGAGCTGAGTGTGTGTTGTTGTGACCTGCAGTGTGGTGAGAGTGTGAGTGAGCTGAGTGTGTGTTGTTGTGACCTGCAGTGTGGTGAGAGTGTGAGTGAGCTGAGTGTGTATTGTTGTGATGACCTGCAGTGTGGTGAGTGAGTGAGTGAGCTGAGTGTGTGTTGTTGTGATGACCTGCAGTGTGGTGAGTGAGAGTGTGAGTGAGTGAGCTGAGTGTGTGTTGTTGTGACCTGCAGTGTGGTGAGTGAGTGAGAGTGTGAGTGAGCTGAGTGTGTGTTGTTGTGACCTGCAGTGTGGTGAGAGTGTGAGTGAGCTGAGTGTGTGTTGTTGTGATGACCTGCAGTGTGGTGAGTGAGTGAGAGTGTGAGTGGGTGGATGAGTGTGTTGTTGTGACCTGCAGTCTGGTGAGTGAGAGTGTGAGTGGGTGAGTGAGTGTGTTGTTGTGACCTGCAGTGTGGTGAGTGAGAGTGTGAGTGGGTGAGTGAGTGTGTTGTTGTGACCTGCAGTGTGGTGAGTGAGAGTGTGATTGGGTGAGTGAGTGAGTGAGTGTGTTGTGACCTGCAGTGTGGTGAGTGAGAGTGTGAGTGAGTGGGTGAGTGAGTGTGTTGTTGTGATGACCTGCAGTGTGGTGAGTGAGACTATGAGTGGGTGACTGAGTGTGTTGCTGTGACCTGCAGTGTGGTGAGTGAGAGTGTGAGTGGGTGAGTGAGTGTGTTGTTGTGACCTGCATTGTGGTGAGTGAGAGTGTGAGTGGGTGGGTGAGTGTGTTGTTGTGATGACCTGCAGTGTGGTGAGTGAGAGTGTGAGTGGGTGAGTGAGAGTGTGAGTGGGTGAGTGAGTGTGTTGTTGTGACCTGCAGTGTGGTGAGTGAGAGTGTGATTGGGTAAGTGAGTGAGTGAGTGTGTTGTGACCTGCAGTGTGGTGAGTGAGAGTGTGAGTGAGTGGGTGAGTGAGTGTGTTGTTGTGATGACCTGCAGTGTGGTGAGTGAGACTGTTAGTGGGTGACTGAGTGTGTTGCTGTGACCTGCAGTGTGGTAGGTGAGAGTGTGAGTGGGTGAGTGAGTGTGTCGTTGTGACCTGCATTGTGGTGAGTGAGAGTGTGAGTGGGTGGGTGAGTGTGTTGTTGTGATGACCTGCGGTGTGGTGAGCGAGAGTGTGAGTGGGTGAGTGAGAGTGTGAGTGTGTGAGTGAGTGTGTTGTTGTGACCTGCAGTGTGGTGAGTGAGTGAGAGTGTGAGTGGGTGGATGAGTGTGTTGTTGTGATGACCTGCAGTGTGGTGAGAGTGTGAGAGTGTGAGTGGGTGGATGAGTGTGTTGTTGTGATGACCTGCAGTGTGGTGAGAGTGTGAGTGAGCTGAGTGTGTGTTGTTGTGATGACCTGCAGTGTGGTGAGAGTGTGAGTGAGCTGAGTGTGTGTTGTTGTGACCTGCAGTGTGGTGAGTGAGAGTGTGAGTGAGTGGGTGAGTTAGTGTTTTGTGACCTGCAGTGTGGTGAGAGTGTGAGTGAGCTGAGTGTGTTGTTGTGATGACCTGCAGTGTGGTGAGTGAGTGAGTGAGCTGAGTGTGTGTTGTTGTGACCTGCAGTGTGGTGAGAGTGTGAGTGAGCTGAGTGTGTGTTGTTGTGACCTGCAGTGTGGTGAGAGTGTGAGTGAGCTGAGTGTGTATTGTTGTGATGACCTGCAGTGTGGTGAGTGAGTGAGTGAGCTGAGTGTGTGTTGTTGTGATGACCTGCAGTGTGGTGAGTGAGAGTGTGAGTGAGTGAGTGAGCTGAGTGTGTGTTGTTGTGACCTGCAGTGTGGTGAGTGAGTGAGAGTGTGAGTGAGCTGAGTGTGTGTTGTTGTGACCTGCAGTGTGGTGAGAGTGTGAGTGAGCTGAGTGTGTGTTGTCGTGACCTGCAGTGTGGTGAGAGTGTGAGTGAGCTGAGTGTGTGTTGTTGTGATGACCTGCAGTGTGGTGAGTGAGTGAGAGTGTGAGTGGGTGGATGAGTGTGTTGTCGTGACCTGCAGTGTGGTGAGAGTGTGAGTGAGCTGAGTGTGTGTTGTTGTGATGACCTGCAGTGTGGTGAGAGTGTGAGTGAGCTGAGTGTGTGTTGTTGTGATGACCTGCAGTGTGGTGAGTGAGTGAGAGTGTGAGTGGGTGGATGAGTGTGTTGTCGTGACCTGCAGTGTGGTGAGAGTGTGAGTGAGCTGAGTGTGTGTTGTTGTGATGACCTGCAGTGTGGTGAGAGTGTGAGTGAGCTGAGTGTGTGTTGTTGTGACCTGCAGTGTGGTGAGTGAGTGAGTGAGCTGAGTGTGTGTTGTTGTGATGACCTGCAGTGTGGTGAGTGAGAGTGTGAGTGAGCTGAGTGTGTGTTGTTGTGACCTGCAGTGTGGTGAGAGTGTGAGTGAGCTGAGTGTGTGTTGTTGTGATGACCTGCAGTGTGGTGAGTGAGTGAGAGTGTGAGTGGGTGGATGAGTGTGTTGTCGTGACCTGCAGTGTGGTGAGAGTGTGAGTGAGCTGAGTGTGTGTTGTTGTGATGACCTGCAGTGTGGTGAGAGTGTGAGTGAGCTGAGTGTGTGTTGTTGTGACCTGCAGTGTGGTGAGTGAGTGAGCTGAGTGTGTGTTGTTGTGATGACCTGCAGTGTGGTGAGTGAGAGTGTGAGTGAGCTGAGTGTGTGTTGTTGTGACCTGCAGTGTGGTGAGAGTGTGAGTGAGCTGAGTGTGTGTTGTTGTGATGACCTGCAGTGTGGTGAGAGTGTGAGTGAGCTGAGTGTGTGTTGTCGTGACCTGCAGTGTGGTAGTGGCTGAACACAGTGTGGCAGAGACTAAGCAGTCGAGTAGACCAAGTCTGCAGCATGGGTAGAGGAATCAGGCAGTGGCTTTGTGGGGCCTTAAATCCATCACGACGTTGGGTAAATTTCAGACTACAACCTCTCTGTTGCAGTGAAATGGCCCCACTTGTTTTGGAAAAGGCTGGCGCGCCATTATTTGTTGTGTCGGGTATTCACCTGAACACTACGCCAACCGCCATCGGTCTTCTCACCCAACTTATAATTAACGGGAAATGACGGTGACTGTAAGTTTTATTGCAGATACCCACGCTGCTATAGGGTGACTGGATTTTGGGCTGGCCATCCAACAAAGACGGTCACCAGAACGCGCGCTTACACGTGCGCTCCTGCGGGCCGTCTGGAATGCTCCTCCTTCCGTTATTGGGAAGCACTGGAGTTGTGCACTTTTAAATCAATATTGAATACTAATTTATTTAGAACCGCTACTTTTTTGTGCTTCGTTTGTTCGATTTTCCCCCGCACCTCCGATTATCGCAGCCGGCTACGTATGGTGAAAAAGAAGTTCAACATACAATACAATACAATGAGCGTACCTTCCACAGGAACGCCGTTGATGAGCCATTGGATCTTGGGCTTGGGTTTGCCATCCGCCTCGCAGTACAGGTTGGCATCATCTCCTGGAACAACCGTCTTCCCCTCCGGCTTCGATGTCCAGTACGGAGCGGCTGCAATGACAACAGCAATAACAACAATGAAGTCAAAGTCAAACGAAAAGTCAGAGTATCTCTCTGCGCGATTACGCAACGGGAGGGTGTCCATTTGCGTTGGTGGTCCCTAATCCAGTAGTGGAACGCTCCACCTTTCGCTGGCAGGAGTATTTTTCTCTCCATGGGATGGCCACTCGAGAACCTTCCAATCGCAAGTGGCACGGTGGAAGCAAGAGGGTCAGCACCGTCACTGCCGAAGGGCTTGCGTTGTGCTTGTCCTTGTCGCAGAGGTGCTCAACGGGGCCCTTGCCGGCTCACACAATAAAGCGTAAGATGCGTGTGGCATCGCACACCTCACTAATAAACCGCTCGCTGCCCTGCCCATGATGATGGGCATCGACGCAGCGAGCAGCTCGCGAATCGGAAAAGTTTTCGGCGACTTCAAAATCCTGCTTGGATAGGCCGGTGGCCGCCGCTAACAAACGGCTATGCCGGACCCCCCCCCCGCCCCTCTCTCCGCGATGTATTGGCCGCACGAGGCATCGGGACCTACCGTCAATCGTGACGTCGAACACGTGCTTGTCGGTGCCCTGGGTGTTGCTGGCCGTGCACTCGTACTGGCCGGCGTTTCTCAGCGACACGGGCGAGATGCGCAGAGTCTTGTTGAAGTTCTCCAAGCTCAGCGTGCCCTGGGGAAGGCTGCCGTCCAACTTGCGCCAAGTGATGTATGGCGTCGGACTGCCGGTGCAGGAAAATTAACGACAGAAAAGTTAGTGATGATGATGATGCAACCGTGCTATTACATCTATTCCGGACACCCTTCAGTACCCTGAAGACGGAATAACCGAGGCAATGTATGAATGGCGATATCCAGTCTGGAACACCCTCTGTGCCTCTGTAGCGGCGATCGCTCATCGTTTGTAGGAAGATCTGGTCTCTCGTTGACTCGTGTTGTCACCCCATTGTGTCCTCACCGCACATCACTCCGCCACTCTTTCAGTTTGCCTTTCTCTTGTGCCTCCTTTCCATTGTGTGCTGCTGCCGCTGCCGCCGCCGTTACCAAGATCACAAATAGCGGCACCCACCATTTGCACGAGTTCAGGCCGGGTCATACAGACACCGCGTACCGCCCCGACGCTGTGCTTCCGTGCATGCGTTGCGTTGAACGCGTGAATAAATAAACTCGTCGGATGAGAGATGGTGGAGGGAGCTGCCTCCCCCACCTTTTCTGAAGGCTCAGCCGCCCTTCTAAATATTCATAGTCAAGCAGAAAAAAATGTTGGTACGTTATTTTACGTCGCCCGACCGAGTGGCTCATCGGCAGGGCGAGCGGCTCACATCCGGAAAAGATTGCCAGTTCAAATCATCCTGCGTGACGGTTGACTCGGCCCATCAGATCGATGAAATCGGGAACCGCTTTGTTGGTTTTCGTCAGCAGTGGTTTGTCCTATGGAGAGACTCGACCCAGCCCTAGAAATGTAGAATTCCCACCGCTGGCTCGGAACTGTTAACGGGAGATGCTCAACTTGAGCAGGAAATCACTTTGACTTGTGTTGTTTTGGGCAAATAGCCAATGAGCCGATCTCAGCCTTTACTGCAGGATCGTTACACAAGCAGATGGCATCGTTACTAATTGTGTTTAGCGATTAACATTCGTTTAAAGTTTACATTCACTGTGCCTCCACCCACCAGTCACCCCCCCCCCACACACTTTAAACAAGGTCACGTTACTTGACACATCTACCAATCTCTGTTTACATGCAGTTGGAGAACGAGACAGTGCGCAATGCAATGCCTGGATTCTCGGCTCCGACGAGAGAGGGGGCGTGTGACATTGTTGACGGACGGCAAACACACGCAGTCAATGTCAACCTGCAAGCTGCATTGGCATACGCACCCACCAGATGGCACTACACAACGGACAACCCAAAGCCCACGGCATCTACCGCGCAACGCAACGCGAATCGAACGTGAATGCGGTAAAGTTCAACCTGTGTGTATGTATGTATGTTGAACTTCTTTTAAAAGATACGTACCCAACCGTGCTGATCGTGGATGCGGGGGGAAGGACAACAAACTAAACACAAAAAGCAGTTCTAATGAAATTAGTTTTTTTTTTATCTAGATTTAAAAGTGCTGCTCCCATTGGCTTCCTCCTATCGGAGGGAAGAGCGTTCCAAAGGGCCTGCAGAAAGCGCATCTGAAAGCGCGCGATACGGTGCCCGTCCATCTTCGATGGCCACCCAAAAGCCGCTGCGACGGGGATGACCGGAGTTCGTTTGCTACGCGCAGTGCGAAATAATTTCAACATACGGCACGCACAAAACCAACGTGCAGCGCCAGGGAGCGCGTGATGCATGTGCCGCAACGGTGCGCATCCTCATCCAGACTGGAAACTCATCTCTTGAGAAATCGTTATTTATTTTTCGTGTGTTCATACTCTTTGGTTCGTCCGGTCAAGTCACGTGGGTAGAAATTAATAGAGCACGGCGTTTCGATCGCAACACGAGCAACCGTCATCAGGTGGGATCAACCACAGCAGGGGAACTATTATTTTATACCTACGTGACTTGGGGGGGGGGGGCATGGGGGGCGTGGGGGGGGGCATGGTGGGGGGCACTCACAGCCCCTCGGCGATGCATTCCAGCAGCAGGTCGTCCCCTCTCAGCGCGTGCTTGCTGCTGCTCTTCCCGTGAGGGGTCAGCATCCTGGCCGGACGATTTTGCAGACGGTCTGCCGGAGACAAGCGGGGGGAGGGGGGCGGGGGGGGGCACCGCGGTGAAACCACGGCGGTGGCGGCAGGAGCTGATACGGGGGGGGGGGGGGCACTCAAAGGCAAAAGCGCGTTGGCACGCTAAAAACGATCAAGGTCGTCGTTTGCAAGTTGGCAAGCCGTGAGGTGGCTAGGGGTTAGATCGAGAGGCTCGCGATCGTAAAGTTTGCAAACGTTCAAGTTCCGAAGGTTGGCGGTTCGCTCGGCTCATCTTCCCTCCCGGCGTCGATAAAATGGGTACCACTTTGCGGGGAAGCCGACAGCGGTTGCCCTCTGGAGAGACTCTCACCCCCGCCTTTGGGTAGTGGAATTTCCACCACTGGCTCAGCAGTGACTAGATCCACTTTGGCGCAATAATTCACTTTGTTTGGGTCGTTTTTTTGAAGATGTCAAATGCATAGGAAGGTGCGCTCTCAAATAGTGATGCCGTACTTTATTTTACACACACGGTGGGGGGTGGTGGTATAAGCGTGCGGTCGAGGCCTTACGCGATCCAGCACTAACGGGGATTGCATGCTGCCATTGTCACTTCTGGCCCCTCCGATCAATACCAGTGGCTTGGAGCAGCTTGAAGCATTCATTTAGCTGCTTTGGTCACAAATGACCGCCGTCGTCTTGAAAAATCAAACACGAATGAATGAATGTGAGATTAAGTTCACGTTTGATCAACATCGGCCTTATTTCTTATGGGTTACAATACGCAACGACGATTTGATTTGGGAAAAGGCGTCAGCAACGAGACGCGCTACAATCTACAAGAAAGTTTACGGAGCAATGTTCCGTGGTGATTTAGGTGCTCTGCTCACCATGTCTGTGGAGTGCTTAGTCAATGTACCCAATTCAAATGAAAAAAAAAACATAAACGGTTGTAAAACATTTGTTTTATCGGCGTTTTTTTGTCGTCTTCACAACAGCATTACGAATTCGTGCGTCTCTCGGTGGACGCATTGTGATAATGTACGCCCAAGATATTTCTTTCAAGTCCAATCTACGGACAGAAAATATCACTCTTTTCCGTGTGTTTTTGTTTTTTGCCTCCGACAAAATGTGCGGACATATGGTCCGGTGGAGCTTCTCGAAAGGAAAATCCCACAAGCACCAGATGGATGCAGGCAATGGGCGTAGCTCAAGTTTCAATCCCACCGAGGTTTTGACAAAGTGGCGAGGGCCATGCATTTTTCAAAGGAGCAAGGCAGAACTAACTGTATTTTAGAAACAAAGAAAAAAATATTTTCCCAGTCTTTGAAACCGTTTCAAAGAATAAGTCACTTTAAAAACTCAATCGGCATGGTAAGACGTCAAATGTATTCGTGATACTGGTTTGGCAGTGGTGCATCAACACAAACGAAACATTTAACACGTATGAATAACACGGTCCTAAGACAGAAAAAAATATATAGTGGGAAATGGGACTTCTTCATAGCAGAGAGATAGAGAGGCCAGAGAGATTGAGTAAATTAAGTCAAAACTGTACGCTGCTCCATGGGGCCCTTACACAAATATAATGTCAATATTGTTTCCTAATAGACAGTCTTAAATTTGAAAATGAATGGTAAAACTTTGGTAATTTTCCCTCAAAATAAATACGTGACATTATATTTGCTGTTAATAGGCACCTTGGAGATCCCTTAATATGCCACTAGAAATAAGCAGAGTAAACATGCACGGCAGCAAAGTTAGCGTCTAAAATCAGTGTAAGGTTAATTTCAACATATACCGGTTTTGCAAAAAAACGATTAAAAGCAAAGTGAGGTTGTGGTTAAAGGTTCACATCAACACGAGGTTAGTTCGGAGGGACACTTACCACCACCTAACTGCTTCCCATCCACATTAGTTGCCAATGAATCATTATGAACGGCAACTGTAAACAAAAGCATGCAAAATGGCTACGTAAAAAATAACATAATGGCAAACTTAAAAAATGTAAGCGAAAAGGAACATGATAATAAGAATTAAAAAAATTAGGTGTCTTGGTCTGACCCACAGAATCGTTTCATGCAAGATCTTGTCACAGTCACGGGTAGAGGTGCAGCCCTGCAAGTTCCATCTCACGCCACTGCTGCCGAAAGGGCCTCCGCTATAGGGATCTCTGAGAGAGTATTTGGCCTACTTGTCCGCTCTGGCCGGACATCTCTGAAGTGGTGGGATTGCCCACACGGCAACCCCACCACAGTGCAAATGGGCGTACAAATCTAGGGGCGGCTAGACACGGCGGAGTTACAAAAAGAAAAAGCTTACCGCATTGCATCAACTGCTGCGAGCGACCCGGTGACCTCTGAACTACAAGTCCCAGTGTGCCGGCCATTGCACTCGACGTAGGAATACCGCAAAAAAAAATGTGTTCGTATTATTTCATCTATACGGACTAAATTTTTCCTGGACACGGTAAGGAAGGTGGGTGTTGAGAGGGTCCTTAGAACCCCGTGTGCAGAAGTGCCGAGATAGGGGCACTGTCTTGGGAAACAGCGCTGCCCGCTGCACAGTTATATCAACCGCCTGGTGACAGAAACCTCAATGCATTTCATTGTTTTCGTAGGGACTCTCATAGCCGTGCCCGATGGGAGACATAAATTAGGCGCAAACGCGCACAAAACACGAGTTTGCCAAAACCACACCGTACATTACCAACGCATGGAATGGCCTTGGATGGTGTTGATGGAAAGCCAACACGTTGTCAGGATTTGCGATGCAATGCAACGCCGGCAAACTCCTCACATTAGAATGTGAGGATTCTAGTGTGAGGAGTTTGTTAGAACCTCCCTGCTTCTGTCCACCCAGCAGCATTAATGGGTTCACCGCAGTGAGCCTCTCAGCAGGTCGCTTAGAGTGGGGTGGGTTAGAGTGGGGGTAACGCCCCACCTCTTCCAAGGCATCTGACCAACATGGAGGAGTAGGCTAACAAAACCATCACGGGAGGTCATTCCGCCAGCAACGTGTGAGCAAGACATTGCCAGGCTCATCGCCTTTCCATTTTTGTTTCGATAAAATATACTACGTGAAGATAAACTGAGAGTCTCAGCTCGCTTACACCTGCACACACGTGGTGATACCACCCCGCCCACCAACACCTCGATGTGTGAGTCATCTCCGCATACTCAGATATCCTCCCACATGTACAGACACTCATCCGTGGCAGTTCACCAAACATCGCAATGTCGTATTCCCCTCCTTTCCCATAACCGGTTTGGCTTATGTTGACGGTGCGTAGTACTTCGATTTAAAGCTTTCGTGACTGCAATGATTCATTTTCTTTGGTTCTTTCGGTAAAGTCACGTAGAATGAGAATAAAATAATGAATTGATAAAATAAAATAACACAATAATATTCTCACGACGTTTCGGCCACAACACAAGCGGCCTTCATCAGGTGAAGGGACGAGACTGTCTGGTAGGACAGCGCTGGAGTGAAAGAGTGATCTGAACGTGGCTCTTTCACTCCAGCGCTGTCCTACCAGACAGTCTCGTCCCTTCACCTGATGAAGGCCGCTTGTGTTGTGGCCGAAACGTCGTGAGAATATTATTGTGTTATTTTATTTTATCACTTTATTATTTTATTCTCATTCTACATGACTTTACCGAAAGAACCAAAGAAGGTGCGTAGTACGTGCGTCACAACGTGACGTAGCCTGCCCGCACACATCGCCTCATTAAAATGTACATTTAAAAAAAATCAATCCTAATGTAGGATCACAGAGCTCGGGCAATTGCTGGAGCCAGTTCTGGGACGCTTTCCCGCAGCGCCTGCACTTCCCCCGCGCCTCTGCAGGAGGGGGATTCTGCGCACGTTAAAATTCCACGGCGCTTTCGGGATGCGTTATTTTTTTAAGAATGACGCTACACAGAAATTAAGTTTGCCTGTGCGTGTATATGTAAATGAAACGAATCCGACAGACGTTTCATTACGAACGCAAAAAGAGAACGAACGCGCGGCTCACGCGGGTTCACTTGGAGCTTGATGGGCTCCTTCTGGATGATGGTGCGCGACGCCTTGAACTGGGCGTAGCACGTGTAGTCCTCTCGGCTGTCCGACGAAATCACGTTCGCGAAGTACAGGTCGCCGTTGAGCCCCTGCGTCACCCTGCGGTCCTGACGGATGTGGTCGAGTGCTGGTGCGGGACAGAAACGGTCACGTGGCGGTGAGGGGGGTGTGAGGCGTGGGGAGCCATGGACACATGACCGGAGCAGCTGTCAAAGACAAGCATCGCCATTGCCAGCTGCATGTGGACAGCTCCTCTTTATAATTGAATTTTAGGTGTAAACTATGTTTTTCTCCGTGCGGCACAACGTCGCGTGCTCGACCGTCATGTGTGCGGATGGGTAGGCCCGGTGCAGTGTCAATCGCCATTTTCTCGCGGTGTTTTATAAATCCGACCACTTGCACGTACAGTATTGCGTTCTTAATCTCGCGTCAATTCGCTTGCCGCTAAATGTCCCCTCCGTTATCCACCAGGTCCGTGACTCACACTCCCCCCACGCTACGCCACCTCGAGCTATCCTCATTTCACTCTACGGACCCATTTCGTCCCATTCAGGAAAGCAGCAGTTTTACTTTGAAAGTAAGTAAAGCTTTTCCCTACGTTTAAAGCATTGTGCACTTTAGCTGTGCCCAGTAAACTATAAGTCATTTTATTAAAGGTCCAAATATCCCGCTGGACTATTACACGATCATAACCTGTGTTTCCCTCTCAGATGTCTGCGTTGTGTACAGTGAGGGAAAAAAAGTATTTGATCCCCTGCTGATTTTGTACGTTTGCCCACTGACAAAGAAATGATCAGTCTATAGTTTTAATGGTAGGTTTATTTGAACTGTGAAAGACAGAATAACAACAACAAAATCCAGAAAAACGCATGTCAAAAATGTTATGAATTAATTTGCATTTTAACGAGGGAAATAAGTATTTTTTTGGACTCTCGAATCATAAATGAATAAATAAATGTTCACGTAGCCAACCTTTGCACATATCCGCCACGGTGGTGAGATGTAAACTATCTTTGCCTGATATACAAGACGTCGGGAGGGTCGATCCCAACCCTGACGCCTCTATATTTGGAGTTTGCATGTTCTCCCCATGGTCGCGTGGATTTTTCTCCGGGTCCTCTGGCTTTTCCCTCCACATTTAAAATCAACGTCACGCGTTTAGGGTGTTTGTTTGCTTTACATTTCCACATAAATGATAAACCACTTCCTTGAGCCATCATTTGTGGCCATGTCTCTTCTGGAAAGGAGAGGCTCAGTGGGCCTTTTCCTCTGTAAAAAAAATAATCGTTGTTTTATGTTTTACTCAACACGGGAAAAATGTTAGTCCCTGTGTGAAACCTGTTCGTCACGCAGTGGACAGCGGGGCCTTACTGCTCGTCATCCAGTAGATAATGGGAGGCGGCAGTCCGAAGGGTGGATTGCAGGGCAGGACCACGGACCTTCCCTGATCCACCCTCTTCGGTTCCAGGACTTCTTTAGGCCACTTCGGTGTACCTGCAAAAAGGAATGTCTCATAAAACAAAAACTGTCCCGCACTTGACAAAAGCACGACCAACGCACACGGGACTCGTGTGCCTGGGTTCTTCAGCTGTACTTCCCCAGGCGATGTGGGGAGGAGGAGTGGGGGGGGGCAAGTAACACAATTAGCGTGCGCTAGTGGACCACGTGGCGCGACAGCGTCACACGGTGCAGATGTTATGATGTCACGTGGCATCGTGACGTCGTAACATCTGTACATGTGCTCACTCATCTGTATCTGTCGTCTCCAGCGCTCTCAACTCCACGTCTGGTTTATCTCTCTTTCATTAGCCTGTATCTCTTTGTCTACAGCTCTCTCAACTCCACGTCTGGTGTATCTCTCTTTCATTAGCCTGTATCTCTTTGTCTACAGCTCTCTCAACTCCACGTCTGGTTTATCTCTCTTTCATTAGCCTGTATCTCTTTGTCTACATCTCTCTCAACTCCACGTCTGGTTTATCTCTCTTTCATTAGCCTGTATCTCTTTGTCTACAGCTCTCTCAACTCCACGTCTGGTTTATCTCTCTTTCATTAGCCTGTATCTCTTTGTCTACAGCTCTCTCAACTCCACGTCTGGTTTATCTCTCTTTCATTAGCCTGTATCTCTTTGTCTACAGATCTCTCAACTCCACGTCTGGTTTATCTCTCTTTCATTAGCCTGTATCTCTTTGTCTACAGCTCTCTCAACTCCACGTCTGGTTTATCTCTCTTTCATTAGCCTGTATCTCTTTGTCTACAGCTCTCTCAACTCCACGTCTGGTTTATCTCTCTTTCATTAGCCTGTATCTCTTTGTCTACAGCTCTCTCAACTCCACGTCTGGTGTATCTCTCTTTCATTAGCCTGTATCTCTTTGTCTACAGCTCTCTCAACTCCACGTCTGGTTTATCTCTCTTTCATTAGCCTGTATTTCTTTGTCTACAGATCTCTCACGTCTATCTCCTGTCTATCTCTCTGCCGTGTCTCGGCAAGCCATATCTCCCAGGAGGCCACTCTGAGGGTCACCCGTTAAAGATCACTGTCGCAGGCAACACATGATCCATCCTGGCACATTTTGAACAACTCTATTTTATTTTAATGACTCAATTGGGAAAACACCATTACATTTAGAAGAACCCTCCTGAAAAACAGCCTTGAGACTCACTCAATGAGGGCTTTCCTGGGCAAATAAATGCATGAATGAATGAAAGGAATCGTCCATGATACAGGTTGCTCTCCAACACACCGGTGTGCTGTACTAGTAACGAATTTGCACGTTTTGTTTACGTGACAAACCCTACTAATTGGCTGTGTCGGGTGTTGGCGGGTTTAACGACACATTTATATTTTTACACGATCTAACCCAAAACTAACAAAAACCTGTACCATGGGTGATATTGGTCACGAAAGCCTGCGTGTTAAACCGACAGGAATCGCGTTTGAATTTAAATGTATCCATTCCTCTCGAGATGTTGTGCACAGCTGCAGATGACTTTAATGTGTGAAGCTGGACCGGTTGCGGGCACACGAGGTCTCGCATTGGCCGCCCTTGCAATGCAGCAGACATTCGCACATTTTTTTCTTAAGATCACCAAAAAGGAAACGTAAAAGCACAAAAAATTGTCGGCGTGCAATATTAACGCCGCTGTCAGCAATGCTCAATTCCACCCGGGAAGACGAGTCCACCCCTGGTTTTTGCGGAGCGGTGCGGAATGCGGGTAAACACACACGTGCGTTGAAAATTTTAACATTTCCAAGCACCTACTTGTCACGCTTCATGACACTTGAAAATACAAAAGCATACGATTCCTCTTCATTTACAGTCCTTTCCGATTCCACTGCTGGATGAAGGCCTCCCCACACCATGTCAATCATGAAGTGTTTTTTTAATACTTCACCGTGTTGGTCAGTGCTGGTGAGTGATTGTGGGGTGAGTTGTCAAGATCAGTTCAGATATCACTCTCCACTGATATTAGCCAGGGCCAGGATTCGAATTTGGGTCATTAGATTAATAGTGCAGAATGCTTGCCATTGCACCACCTCATCCGCCCAAATACAAAAGTAACCATCTCAAACAAATCTATGATGTTAGCCCTGGCCAAGAATCGAACTTGGGTCACTAGGTTCATAGTGCAGAATGCTTACCAATGCACCACCTCATCCGCCAAAATACAATTGTATTTCAGCTCAAATAGTGATTGTTCATGCACCACTATTTCTGCCCACACACCGGTAAAATGGGCACAACGCTTACGTAAACTCTACAGTCTTCCAATACAATTGCATTGAAATGTGAATGGCTTCCAGAGCCAGAGAGACACGTGCACAATCGCTAAAAGGCTTGACTTTTACTTTATCTACAAATGCACTTGTGACAGCGTTCGCTAAAAAAAAAGCACCATTAGGGCTGCCACCTCCAAAAAATTGGAGGAAAGAACATTTTGACACGCATGCATCCTCTGTTTTACCTTCACACTGGCTTATTTATAGCATAAACGCACGCACAGAGGCACTCACTATCTCGGACACACACACGCGGGTAGAGTCATTGGGAAACACATTACTACAGGGTCACAGGACAAGGCAGGGAGTGCTAATGAGGGCAAATCACAGATTGACGAAAGCACCAAAGCTGAGGATAGATTTCCTGTTTAGTTAAAATTATATTAACAAAGGAATAAGACATTTTCAGCCTTTGAAAATTCCACTGCTGGATGAAGGCCGCCCATGCCATGTGGTCATGGGAGTTGTTCAACCGCACTTAACCTCACTGGGTCAATGCGAGTCAGTGACCGTTTCAGATATTTCTGACGTTAGCCGTGGATGGGAATCGAACTCAGTTGCAGTGGCTTCTTAAGTGCAGTGCGTGAACCACCGCGCTACTGCTTTGGCCGATCATACTAGCCTCATCATTATTTAGAATTTTCTCGATCGTATTACACTTTATGCCAATGCATTTAATTTCGTAATACAAGTTTTTTTCTTCGAGTATGTAGGCAGACCATACCTATATAATCAACGATTTGCCGCTTTCGAAAATCGCTCGTTTAAAAGTCACAGTGCAAGACACGGCGTTGGCAAACAGGCTTGGACTGGCAGGCGAGTGAGGTTTACCTTGCAGGACATGGTGCATGAAACCCTCAATCGCTGTCCGGGAATATAAAATGAAAAAAAAAGCAAGCGGAAAGACAGTAAAAGAAACGTAAAAACCAAAAAATTGTATCCGCGTGAAATGATTTATCAAGTGAGAATGTTCTGGGATGCATGCTAATAAGCAATTAGAGTTAAGAGAGCGATATTTAAGCCGCGTTTTGAAAACTCACCTTTTTAATCTGGCCTTTACATCCACTAGTTTTTGCCCGTTTAACCTGCAGGTTCTGTTAATTCCCTGCTCTCCATACACAGCGCATTGGGATCTACGGATGAAATGTGTCTTACAATTGTAAATTATTATCGTTATTTATGTCTTATCACAGGTAAGAGTAACTCAAGCAAGGTTTTTGTTTTTTTTTTATTCATAGATCAATATAATTTTTGTTCATCTCAGAAGGACGACGTTTTTACCGTTGATTTCAATTAATGTGCAGTACCCAAATTGTTAAGTCAGCCGATTGGCAGATCGGACATGGTGGGGTAAAGTGTGACTATTTGTGTCCAGCGTGGACGCGTAGGCCACGTGACGTCTCGTGGGGATCTCCGCAGTTCACTTCAGTGGCGTGAGCTGGCAATTGCAGGGCTGCACCTTTTGCCTTTACTATAAACTTCATACAAATATTGCCAAGTACCGCGATTTACTCTCTGACGAGTTACGATGAGGATGTATTACGACGATTTAGTTATTTCTCTCGATTGACATTATCTGCTAAAAAATTTTGGAATCCGGTTAATAATTTTTTTGCCAAGCTGATCATAAAATTTTAAGTGAAATTCTGCGGATACTCCTGTGGGTCTGTACATTATTTATTGACGGATTTATTAAATAGCCGCACTGCTGTTGCTTGGTGCGAAAATCCCTACAGTGGCCTTGAACACAGAATTAACTACATTTAATGAAATAATCAATATATATTTTTTCCAAATGTCAGATGCATTTGACAGCCCAATAGAAATATTTAAAAGTGATGTATAAAAATCGATAACCAATAAATGGTGCACTTCCATAAAAATGCAATGATACGGAGAGCATTAACAACAGAAAATATGTTTGGATTACTAAGCAAAACATCCTCTAAAACGTAATTGTCCTACTACCTGAATTTAACTTATTTCAAAAGTAAAAGTTACATTCAAAATGTTATTAAAATAATATAATGAGTTTTAAGGAGATACTATTCGGGTTTTGGCTTTCATGATTCTGACTAAAGGTCAGTCTTTTGCAGAGACTCATTAAGCAAGATAATAGCTTTTGCAATCAAAGGCAATTCATCTAAAGGACATCACCCCATTTCCAACACTAGACACATCAATTAAAACAAGAGCAATGAGCGGGCAACAAAAAAAACAATACATGGAGAGCTTGAATATTAGGACCACAGTGATACATTGATGGACGCCTCGAGAAATACTAATGCACTTTGTAAGTGATATAACCACACAGGTATGTAGGGTAGGCGGTAGAGTCAACTGCTGTTACGGAGCAGCTGTTCAGGTCTACGCAGCACATCAGGGAGTGCTGTGCTCATTGTGTTATAGATCCTAATGTTTACCCACTTTGCCAGGTACACATCTAAGGCTGAGTCAACCTAGGGGAGGCTCAGGACAGATTCAGATACCACTTGCCAATGATGTTATACATGGCTAAGAATCGAACTTGGGTTGCTCAGATTGGGTCACATGCACAAAGACGAAAAAAAAACCCTTACAGCCTTAACAGACTCCTGGGGCAAGTGCTGTTAGCGAGCACCTATGAAGGCTGGCACGGCACACGAGAGGGTGGATGGCCAGCACCGCTTTTGTCTCCCAAGTGGTGATGTTTACACACGGCAACAGGTCCTCATGTGACACTGAGTCGACTTAGGTGAGGCCCACGACCGGAACAGATAAATCGTCACTGGTTTTGGCAGTGAACGGGAATCGAATTCTGGTCGCCGGGTTCGGAGCGTAACGCGCTAACCATTACGTCACCGCTCCCAACGCACGCACATGTGAGCATACAGACAGACTGCGTGGTGTCTTTTTGTATTCTCCCAAATCACTTTACATTCCAATTAAGCTCATCAGTGTCATGTCAATGACACGTACCTGTCAACCCCTTATCAGTGCCTACCTTATTGCAGACCAATTCAGACATTATTGGTCACCCCGTGCCGTTAAAAAATCTCAACGTTCGTCCGACAAAGTTTCAACACGAACAAACAGACAAAAAACACATTTTGCCGGTATTAAAACGGCTGTACGCCGTATGGACCCGAAAGCTCAATTTCCCTGTACAAGAACACGGGGTACACCGTGTGGGTTGACAGCTACGATGAGACGAATAAACATTTTCATTGGGGGAACTCTCACAGAGAACAGGGCAATCGCCCCGCGCTCGATAACGCGCGGTGGAAACCGATGTCACATCCGTGCGTCCGAGATCTCTCACAACAACCGACCGACCGACCGACCGACCGACGAACCGAGCAGCCAGCCAGCGAGTGTCTGCACGTGCGACGATCGCCGAGGGACCTACTGGCCAGGCGGAGACGTATCTTTTCGGAGAGCGCCTTTCCCACGGCGTTCGACACGATGCACTGGTAGTCGCCTTCATACTTCTTGTTGAGGACGCCGTTCGACTTGTGCACCTTGAATGAGCCCGAGTTGTTGTTGGTCAGCGCGATGTTGGGGTCGAGGCTCGGGTCAAAGTGCTCCCCGTCCTTAGTCCAGGTGAAGCTGGGGAGGGCACGTGCCCATTCCATGCATGAGTGCATTGTTTATAATGGGACGTGCGGTCAGGGGAGGCAGGTGGAGGCAGGGGGAGACAGAGCCTCACCTGTCATACAACGATGACAATAGCTGTTACGAATAGTAATAAATATTAAAATAAAAATTCAGATTTTTTTTTTTCTTTCCACTGATCTGCGTTATGTCATTTTTGTACGATTCCAATAATTTTTATAGTAAAAATCGCCAAATTTTGCGGAGCTCCGCTGCAAATACAGGAAGAGACGAGAGGCGAGGCAGCGACGAGCTCAGCCTCTCCTCTGATTGCACAACCCCTCAGAAACTGGATGGAGTGCGGGCAATAAACAGCTACTGCTGTTACAGCTGTAACAGCTACTACTGTTACTGCTGTAAGAGCTACTGCTGTTACTGCTGTAAGAGCTACTGCTGTTACTGCTGTAAAATCATCGGCTATAACAGCTACTGCTGTATTTTTTTGGGGTTCTTTCGGTAAAGTCACGTAGAAAATAATAAAATGAATAATAAAAATACAAATAAAAAACACTAATGTAGACTGTAGCCTGGTTCTTAATCGGAGTGAGTGTATTGGCAGTTCTAGATTTAAAGCTTTCGTGACTGCAAGGATCCATACTCTTTGGTTCTATTGGGTAAAGTCACGTAGGTTAAAAAATAAAATAACAAAAATCACGACGTTTCGACCACAACACAAGTGGCCTTCATCAGGTGAACCTGTCCTCCGGACAGTCCGGTCCCTTCACCTGATGAAGGCCACTTGTGTTGTGGTCGAAACGTCGTGATTTTTGTTATTTTATTTTTTACCTACGTCACTTTACCCAATAGAACTAAAGAGTATGTATTGGCAGTCCATAATGTAGACTGTAGCCTGATTATTAACTGCTGAAACAGTTACTGCTGTACTGCTGTAATAGCTACCGGTGTAAGCAATCGTGACTACGATAAAAGCTACTGCTGTAATAGCTACGGCTTTAAACAGCTACCGCTACAGCAGCTGCCCGCTGAAATCGACGGCCGCGCTAATGCCAGCGCCTCCTGTGGCCGTGTGTGCGGGTCGCACCTGGGAGCAGGATTCCCCTTGGCCTCGCAGTCGATGTGGATGTCGTCCGTGGGATCGACAAAGTAGACCTTGGGCGGCTGCTTCGTGATCGTGGGCGGCTGTTCGACTACGGAGTCATACAGCGGCGGGGGGGGGGGGGGTGGGAGGCGTTCGTCCACATTTCACTCATAAAGCTCGTGCTGGAGACATGCAAGCGACCGGATTTTGTGGCTCGATGGGAGCCGTGGCGACGTTGTTTATTGGGTCAGAATTGATTATTGTGTACGGCCGCACTCACGTGCCCATGGCATTGGGAAATCGGTGGCTGTATTTAGCCACAACTGCAGTGCTGTAGTCGTTTTTTTTTTAATGCACACTGAGTAATGGCCGTACAAGCACAATCAATAGTCGTTAGGGTTATGAATATCTTTTATTATTCATATTGATCTGCTTGACTTTTTTACGACGTTTAGAAAAACGCCTCTGACCTAGGTACATTTTTTTGGGAGATTTCCGTCACAGTAATGTTTTTTTTACGCATTTCCAAACTCTCTTCCCATGCCTCTTCATGTTTCACATGTTTCAATTGAGAACATGGAATGATTTTTTTTGTTTTTCTGAATACAATTTGGGATAATGCAATCCCTACCGTCGTTGATGAGGTCAAAGGTGACCCAAGTGGTGTTGGGAAACGCTTTACCAAGGCTTGAGGCCACTCATGTTAAATCCAGCCCTTGTTCGTTTGGGTAAATTTGATGAGGTCAAAAGTGAGCTGGCTTGTGGAGTACACCTCTTTTCGAGTTTGTAGGTCACCCGTACACGATATCACTTCTGTTCAAACTTTAAGAGGTTAATTGTGACCGGGTAGCAGATGACAAGGCCTACTTCATACACTCCAGGTCACTCGTGCCAGGGAGTTTTAAGAAGGTTTGAAGTTAAAAAAACGATTTACTCCATCCGTAAATCTTTTTTTTTACTGGCTTGTAGGATAAAGTAAGACAAACAATATTTTATTTCAGTATTATTGTACAGCTTGTTCCAAACAGTAATTTTTGTTAATGTTGTGGGTTTACACTACAACACACCGGTTAGTGCTGTACTAGTAACGAATTGGCATGTTTTGTTTACGTGACAAACCTCACTAATTGGCTGTGTCGGGTGGTGGCGGGTTTAACAATACGTCTATTTCCGCGATCTAACCCAAAAAAATATATATGGACAGCAAACTAAAATTCTACGATTACATTTTGGCGGTCTATAACACTGTCTATGGATGGCAAATGGGATATGGACTTCAACACCAATTTTATTTCCGTTTGAAGAGATGTTGATAATCGTTCTAGCCGCAAGTGGAACGACGCACAATTGTCTCTCAGAAAGAAAAAAAAACATTTTGACGCGCTGCACAGAGCCACAGCATATACAAAGCTCATTTCTCAAATCAGCATCGATTAACAAAAGTTCAATTGAACGCATCTCCAATGTTATACCGAACAACACAAACGTCTATCTATGATCAAACACGTATGGCAATTCAAACGCATGCGTACACGCTGCGGCAACATGCAAGACATGCGGAACAATGAAGCGTATATTAAACGTGCAAGGCACTTACCACTTTCAAGAAATTTGGCTACAAAATGCAAGACATACGTCAATAAAAGGTTAGCGTTAATTGTTAAAGTTCATTGATTGAATGTCACATACGTAGTGGCTGCTTGCCCCCCACCCCCCCTCCCCCCGTGTGAAGACGCTTGCAAGAGAAGAGCCACACTGAGATGCGTAACCAAGTTGCGATGATCTCATGCTGTTAATTTTTTTCTCCCAATATTGTCCCGACTGTGGTATCCGCTGTAACTGTCAGTGGACGCAGCATCCATTCAGATCTCACACAGAGCTGTGGATCGCCCCATGTTAGTGAATTGCCCGCGGAAGGAGTTATCCAAGCACCCACTTGTGAGCTCCCATCAAGGTGAGTTCTGCAAGCCACACACGGGGGTGAGTTGCTGCTCTTAATCACACGCTCGCCTGGAATGCAGGAGGCCGTGGCTTCGATCCTGACCATGATGCCTGCTGTATATTTGGCGTTTGCGATGTTAACTACCTCGCCTGGTATGCAGGAGGCCGTGGGTCCGATCCCGACCCTGACGCCTGCTGTATATTTGGAGTTTGCATGTCTCTCTCTCCCTGTGGTCACATAGATTTTTCTCCGGGGCCTCCGGTTTTTCCCTCCACATTTAGAAACATGCGCTTCGATTATTTGGCTGAAATACATTTCCGCATGATAAGTCACTTCGTTGAGCTATCATTTGTGAAAAAGAGCTATGCAGCTCAGTGGGCCTTACCTCATAAACTATAAAATTAAGTAATAGTAGTAGGTTCGTCACATATCAAAGTAGTACCGTATATGTTATTTTATATATATCCAGCTATCACTCTTCGAGCTAGAATTTAACTAAATTAAGTGTATTGTCTCAATTGAAGTGTGCGGTCATCGATGACAGTCTCGGACAATCAACTCAATTCTCTTGAGAACCCAGGTTAATCACAGGTGGTTGAAACTCGAATTTAAACCCAGTCCATAGGTCGAGATGAATTCATGTAATTTACTTGCTGATACCACTTGATATCGCAAAGCTTGAGTTGTTCCAAGAGCTTTAAATCGCGAATAAAAGTTAATTGTGGAATTAACCTTTCTTAATAAAGACATTATCACATCGTCCGATGTTACTTGCCATATACAGAAACTGGCATCAGTAAACATTGACCACTTCCAGTCGGGTAGCAAATATCTGCTCTGGCCCATGGACGCGGCGCCAGCTGAACATTCCTACCATTGAGCCACTGGGCCACCTGCAGGCTTGGAACCACATAATGCTACCCGGGTTGGTGACAGTTCCGTAGGGCCGACATTGGGCGTGCCGCATCCCCTTACGGCAGAGGTCAGCACCCAGCGGCTCTGGAGCCCCGTGCGGCACCTTTAATGGGCTGCTCCGTGGCGTTACTAATTATAAATACGGTGGATACGAGGCGTTGGCCCTCAAAAAATATTGAGGGCCTCAATAATTATTGAGGGCCAACGTCTAAATAATTTTTGAGGGCCTCAATAATTGAGGGCCAACGCCTCGTATCCACCGCATTGCATTGAGGCTCTTGAAATATTGGGTGTTTTTGTTGTTGTTGTTGTTGTTTTACCGATTTCGAGAAAAAAATGCGTCTTCTTGTTATTTTGGTGGCCGATCGCTGTCCCTCGGGAGAGCAAGTGGCTGGCGTGCGCACGTTCTTACTCTGCAGGGGGATGTCCTGCGACAGGGACGTCACGACGCCGACGCACAGTATCGCCAGGGCCCTCAGAAGGGCGCACGGAGGTTTTCGCGGCAACATTTCTCCCGGTCGTCAGCAAAGCTGCGGACACGTAAGACGGCAGAGGGAGTGTGAGGGGCGATGGGCCGGGGCGAGGCGGGGAGGGAGATCGGGACGTATCCTCGCTCAATCTCGCTGCGGGATCTCAGCAATCGCCGTTTGGTGGGGAGGGGAAGGGGAAGAAGACGAGCAGAAAAATAAAAAAGATAATAATGGATGGAGATGAAGGACACGCAATTCGGAGTATAAATCCATAATGGATAATAATAATAATAAAAATAAACAAGGAAATAAATAACTGCAACAGAGAAAATGGATGGTTTTTTTTTGGCTTTTATGCCTACCTACTTATAGCGCTGTATAAAGCATCACTAAGTACAGCTGTGTCTTGCCTCTAATTGCCCATGCGAGCTCTCTGGCTGCAACAAGCCCCATAGCTGTTTACTTATTCAAAATGAGCTTAGCAGGGGTCTCATGAATTTATTACAAATTGCGTAAATGCGGCAAATGTCCACCTTTGAAGCGTGCAACGGCAACAGTGAATAAAATAAAAACCTGCAGCCCGATCGACCCTCGTGAATATTGCGTCCTTGACAAATGCAAACATTTACAAACAAAATTAACGGGAACGACTTCCAGGGAAATAAGTCATTTTACAAACGATCACATTGCAGGACAGAGTTACTATTTAAGTCACTTTGCCGCGCAACACAAATGATACAAATCTAGAGATAACACAAGACGAAGGTTAAGACTGGCGTGGTTCATTCACTGCAATACTGCAACAGACAACCCCTCCCCAAAGACAACACCCCCGAAACAAATGGCATTTCAAATCCGTCAAAATTATCATTCGCACGAGGATTCCCGCAAGAGTCAAACAGCAGCAGCAGCAGCCGCGACTCACCTTGGCAGAACGTACAGATAAATCTCCGTCGCACACAGACACGCACGCAGACACACACAGACAGACACAGCAGTGGAACCAGATGGCAGCAAGCAACGGGGCGCGAAGGCAGACGCCGTCTTTCAGAGGCGTATCAGCCCCCCCCCCACCACCTCCCCAACTCGCCAGGCGGGACAACGCCCACGGTGAGCGTGCCGGCTAAACGCGCGTGGGAGGTTCCTGCAACTGGACCGCGGCGCGGAGACCGACCGAGGGGGGTAACCGCTACCGGGCGAGTCGGCACTCAGCTACTGCCAGCCAGACGCCACCGCCGTAGCGAACGGCGATTGCTGCAACCTGGCAGAGGCCCAGCTCGGCGCACTCTAAGAGATTAGCGCTGGGCCGCCGCTTGGCTCGCGCGAGTTACAGCGGCGAAATTAACTTTGGCACGAGGACAAACGCGTGCGTTCGGTGCGCGCGAGGCGGATTGACCGTGGGTGGCTGGTGGGTGGAGGGGGAGGTTGGGATTTGGATGAACGGGGACGTGCAGTTTGGACGGCGGCGGCACGGCAGCGCGGATATTCGTTTGTTCTGTTACAATCAGTGCCGTATCAAGTTCGTGTTGTTAAAAACATAAACATGATAATGTTTTGCTTGCATAGTAAAGTAATTGTATTTTTTTTCATTTTCTATACAGCCAGCCAGATAATACGACAAATCGCTAAACTAAAACACCCGGTCGTTCATAAAAGTTGAAGGCGGTATAGTACTATAGTAATAGAGCAAGTGCAGAATCACCGAACCGGCATTGATAGCTTGAAAGCATTTAGCGCTGGGCCCTTGAAAGTGCGGGGGGGGGGGGCGGTGTAGCTACTACACATGTAGCTGCTTTTGCTACTCGGGTAATCCGGCACTGGTTACAATCCCGATCGATGCGTGGAGTTGCGATGCGTTCGATCGACGGACGGATCGCAAGCCGACCGGCGTCGCGGACCATCGCATCCGACGGCGACAACAACTGCCACACGTCCTAGCCCTCGTTGGCTTGGTAGTTTTCGTGAAAGGATGAGGCGTGCTGCCATGATGGAATGGTTAACACGCTGAACTTGCAATCACGCTTCATCGCGAGGTCGCCGGTTTGATTCGATGCCCTGGGCGTGGCAGCAGCTGAAACAGTCGTGCACGCTTTTGTCCTCTCAACGTGGCTATGCCACAGTTATGAAACAATATCTTCCAACTTCTGGCACACGTGGAAGAGCAGGACGAATATCCACTGAAGAGGCTTTGTAGTGGAGGCTCTTTAGCCAGCATCCGATTACCATTGCAGTCACGATGCAAATGCACGGCGTTTGCTTCAAGGTGGACCTTAAAGATTCCGTGACATCATTCGCAAGAGTAAACCACTGTGTGCTGGCATCATGGTTCCAATTTGTAAAAGAATGAGACAAATTATATCCACAAATCACTCGGTTTGAATGAAAAAATAAACAACTTGGCAGGACCCTACTGAAAGAGTCACGAGACTCATCGAGACTTTCGTAGGTAAATAATAAGCATAATAGAAGTTTGGAAAGAAAGCAATAGCAGGACTGCACCTTTACCCTGAATGACGAATGATATATTGAATTTTTTTTTACTTCTATGTATTCATTTTACGGAATACCCGCATAGCTTTGAAGAAGATTAATTTGAAACGTTCATAGCAACAGTGGTGCTGTGATATGAATCGGCTTTTGGGAAAATAATTAATTTACGTCCTGCCACTCAGGCAATGCAACCATTACTCCAGTCCGCTTTTATTCAATTGCCCCGTGCACCAAAACATACTCCCGATGTGAGATAGGACAGCCACTTTAAAATACACGCTTTGGAGTCACAATTATGCTACATGTTCGGTTTAATATAATGTCTCAGTCGATGTTCTAAAGGTGATTAAGAAAGCTGAAAAAAATGACCTTGCAAAGACTACAATTTCGATAAATTCCCACCATATAATCACTTAAGCACATAATTACTCGGAGCAACAAACCATTATTGTGAGTTAGTCAGTTCGTTTATCACAAGTAGATGCCAAATGTGCACAGCAAGAATATGTGGATGAAATTAATTTTTAAAAATGCATCAAAGACTTTGGCCCTAAGGCAATGGAAGGAAAGCCCGAAACTGCACAAAAAGCAGCAACGCCAGCAATTACACTCAGATTCAGACCTACGAATCAGAGGCATCACATTGTTTATCAATGTAAAGTCAAACTGAACTATGTTTTTTTTTGTTTACCAGGTAAGGCCCGAATAAGCTATAGTTTTTTTTCAGAAGTGAACGTGGCCACAAATGATAGCTCAACAAAGTGGCTTATCGTGTGGAAATTTATAGCAGCCAAATACTCTAAACGCAGCACGTTGAGTCTTATTGTGACGGGGGGAAACTGGAGGACCTTGGAGAAAATTCCACGCGACCACGGGAAGAGAGACACGCAAACTCCAAACATACAGCAGGCATCAGGGTCGGGATCGAACCCACGCCCTCCTGCATACCAGGCGAAGGAGATAACATCTCCTAGCCACTGCGGCTCGAAGCGATGGCGAGTTTTCCTCGCCAAGGGGAGAAAAACTCGCCATAGAGGAAGACCACTGCGGAGGTGGAGCGAGAAAATTGGCCGACGTGCGTGACATGGACCTGTGGCACTGAAGGGCCATCAAAAAGGATGGCGACAGAGGCTTTCGTCCAGCAGGGAATAGACCAGGGGGGGGTGACAATCTGTGGCTACGGAGTCGCATGCGGTGGGCCCCTTCAAGGAGCGCTTCGTGACGTTATTTTTTTGTTTAAGGACCACCATCTCGAATTAAGCAAATGCACTACAGCTCTTGAAATATTGAGGTTTATTTTGTGACAGAATTCGGAAAAATAATGTCTTGTTGTTGTTGTTGTTGTTTTGCTTACCGACTCCTGGATTAGACAATGGTTCATGATGACGACGGCGAGATAAAAATGGTGCGAGAAAAATAAAATAAAAGCACCATTCCCGTTGACCTCGTAAAAAAAACACGCACACCTCCACGCTCGCTCTGCCTATCCGATGAGGCAGCGAGACCAATCCCCAACCCGCCAGCCCCTCTTCTGCTCTGAACTCAGGAGCACTGCGTCTGGGGCGAACGCCCGCAGGGAGTTTCTGTACCCCCATGGCCGCGTCGCGGTTTGTGCTCTGCACCGGGCTCCTGTTGAGATGTAAATAAATACAAATGTATGAAATATAGCTTTGTATGAATTAATATATAAATTAAAAATATAAACAGTTGAAAAAAAGCATTACATTTTCGTTGGCCTACAAAAGAAATGAAACCGTGTAGAATCTCCACAATCCTAGCACCTCGTCGCAATTTACGAGGTGGACAGCCTCCACAACTGAGGCTGACGTGATCACAGAGTTCACTTTGTTCAGCAGGAGGAAAATAATTGCATTTTGAAAGGCGGCGGGGTGGGGGTAAGGGGGAGACTTTTCCGACAAAAAAGACTACATTGTACAACACCGACTGTGATTCAGAATCTTTGAAGCCCACTGAAATGTAAATACGAGATTCAGAGAGCAGGTCTTGCACAAAAGAACAACAACTGAATGGACCCAGACATCAATATTTACCGATTCTTCATCTCGAGTGCACCAGACCTGCGTAGAGAGCTCTCGGCTGAGTGAATCTCTCTCACCATCTCTTGTTCTAGCCCGCCAAGTAAAACATCGACTCTCAGTTAAAAATCAAAGATTGAGATTTCTACTCCGAGGACAAGGTGGGACACGAACGTGGCCAATTTGTCCCACCAGTCATTGCTCATTGGCTTCCGGTTGCCGAACGAATACGTGATGAGGTCGCACTAATTACACACAGAGTGCTCGTCACAAGTGGATCACAACACCTTGCTCATCTCGTCATGGAGCGGAAACCATCACACGAACTCCGGTCATCATCGCAGCAAGCGTCTTTTGGCGAGCCGTCGAACAAAGACGGTCGCTGCATCGCGCGCTTTCGAATGCGCTTCTGCGGCCGTCTGGAACGCTCTTCCTTCCGATATTAGGAAGCCACTGGAGCTACGCACTTTATAAATCTAGATTGAGCTCTCGGCTGAGTGAATCTCTCTCACCATCTCTCGTGAATCTAAATTGAAAACTAATTTATTTCGAACTGCTTTTAAACGTTGTTTGCTGTTCTCTTCGCACACTCTGATTAGCCAGGTTGGCTACATACGTGTATTTGCGAAAGAAGTTCAAGATATATATACAAACCGCCATACCTTGCGAAGTCATTTTTTGTTTATTGGCAGCTAAGAGGCAACAAATATAACTGTCTATTTGCTTTTCCTATTTAAGGCAAACTGATCAAGCGGTTTCACGTGATGCTTTCAGACTTTGCGAATCGTTTGCTACGGCTCGCTTCTTAATCCCGGCCGGGTAGCTCAGCGGTGGACCGGATCACAATCGGAATATTACCGAGTTCAAACTCCTGCTTGAGAGTTGACTTGGCCCATCAGCCCTCTGCAGTCGATAAATTAAGTAACTGCTTTGTGGGAAAGTCAACAGTGGTCGTCCATTGGATAGACTTACTCCTGCCATCAGGATGGACGTCTGTGAAAGAGCTTTATTGATTATCAGATTCCTTCAGTATAAATAAATATTCTGCTTCTGAATGGAATTTCTACCACTGAGTATAAAGGAGATTAACACCACCTCAATTCTCATTTTAGCAGGAAATCACTTTGGCTGTTTTGCTTGTTTACCCAAGACTAATTGGAGTGTGAATTGCTTCGGCCAGGCATTACTTCTCAATCTTACCCAAACAAATGTGTAGCTTTGCAACCAACTCATGTCCCAATGTATTAATTTAAAGTCAACACCACTTTAATATTCTCAGAGCCAGCCTATTCACACAGGCATATATTCATAATTGCAGTGACAGATCATCCATTTAGCAGAACGCTCGAATCACGTGGACTTTAAAGTCACGGTGCTTGGAGGACATTTTCTTTTTAAAACCTTAGCACTTAAGTAAAACACAATCTTTAATTGACGCTTTTAAAAACCAGCATTTCTACAACATGCCTGATGAATCAATAAGTACAGCGGCACGTGAACCCATGACATGTCAAATTGCTGCAGACATTACGTTTTGTTATTTCACTGCATTGCTTCTTACGGGATCATTAAAGGCCCTTATCTGTTATTTTTAAGCATAGAGTCACCTTGACCGCTCCATGTATTGGTGTAAGCACCTCATATTTATGGAATAATCGAGTGCTAGTCTGGTCAAATTGGGAACACTTTGGTAACATCCAAGGTGGATTGTCCAGTTCTCGTGTCAGGAACTTGGGCGATCGAAGTTTAATGAAAATTACTCGTAAAGATGAAGTTATGGTGAAATAAGTCCGGTTTGTCAACGCTCCTACACTCACCGA